TCCCAGGAAGCTGAGTTACCCCATCAGTGTCCCAGACCATTTTTCTGGCCTTTGCCCTAACATTCAAGCCCATCCCGATGCAGCATGGGTGCTGTTTTGTCTCTGTCTCCCAGATGGCAGCTCAGGGCTCCAAGTTTATCCACTCCTGCAATATACGGCTTTTCATCCCACACTCTGGTTATGAGCTGTTGGAGGTACTGAGGATTTGTCAGTGTGACCCCATCAGCTTCTTTGAAAATCAATAGGAAAATGCCGAGGAATGCAAAGGAAGCAGGGACAGTCAAAGTACAGACAAGTGATGTCCTGTAATGGCCATAATGATTCTGAAACACACAAGGTCACAGATAATTAGGAACCTAATTCTCCTTTGAAAGAATCTGTCAAGTTGCTTCCCTACCTCAAAAACAATTGCTGATTGATGTTATTTCTGGGCTAACAAACTCATTGAAGGTAGTCTGAATGGGGGATGTATGGCCCTTGCTGTCCAGGTGGGGTTAGGTAGTCACAGCTGGAGAGTAAAACTTGAGTGAAAGAGATTTTCATTGCCACAGTAATGGTCTTAATTGGGCCTGATTCACAGAGGTGCCAGCTCCTTCTTCTCTACAACATTTCTACCCACTTGGGTTCTTTTTGATTTTATTTTATTTTTGCTTCTAATTGTAAAGAGTGAGGCATATGCTGGTCTCCTGTAGGAGAGAGGGAAGGGGTTTTCTAACACCCACAGGGACTGAGCCGGCTCCTTCCCTGCTGCTGTGCCCCCCACTGCAGGGCTGCTGGAGCTCATGGCAAGGGAGCTGTGGCACAGGTCCAGAGCCGCAGAAGCATCCAAACAGTGGAGGTAAAATGTGGACTTCAGCACAAGCATGGATGTTAACTAGAAATGTATAACACTACTGACTCACAGCTCAAAGGCCAGGGCCACAAGCAGTGAAACAGCAACCCCACAGCTCCAAATTTGTTATTAGAGCAGATGACAGCCACAGGCAGAGCAAGGAAGAGGCTTTAAGAGCCTCTCATATAAAAAAAATGCAGTACTGATGAACCGTGTTCTGAGAGCTTTCTGTTTACAAGATGTCTTCATTTTTTTCTAAGGCTGGTTCTCCAGCTTTTTCACAGCTACTGCAACCTGGAGAAGGACTGCATGTGAGGGGAGATCGCTGATTTCTCCTGAACAAAGAGCAGTGCAGCTATGGTTCTTTGGGTCATTTTAACTTCAGAGGTGTGGGGCAGAGAAAGGATGTAAGAAAGGCTAGAACATAAAAATGCAGTTACGTTTTCTGCCCCAGCTTGGATGGAGAGGGATGTAGAACTCAGGCAAAAATGAACTTCTGGTTTGCTCCAAATGAGGTCAGCAGGCAGACTGACCCTCTTGGTCCTGAGGGTTCAACCCAACTCAAAGCAGAAATCCCAATTTCCAAACCCAATTATAAACAAAAACCAAAACCAAACAAACAGCTGAAGTTTCTGCAAAGTGACAGCAAAGAATTTACCTCACCCCCAATTTACACAGCTCAGACACTTGGAAAGCAGAGATGTGAGTAATTAGGTATACAGCAGACTTTACAAGACTGTCTGAACCTGCCTGTATGGTTCTGAATTATAAAACACATATTTGCTCACATCCAAATGTTGGTTCTGTCAAGGTATATTGGTATCTAAGATTGATTTGTTTGAAAAAGGTCTTTAAAATTGCAAATATATTTGACTGTAGCCAGAGCACATGTAAGTCTGTTCTGCCAGACCAGGGTTAGGTTGTTAGCAGGGCGATCTGCATCTCTCCGTGCTAAGTATTACAGCTGGGAACACAGGGAGCATATAGATGCTGGTCATGGAGCAGAGATGTGACTGCAAGCAACCTATCAGCCTGGAATTGGAGCCAGGGTATGAGAGCGTGGGTAGCCGTAGTGGGTCTTCAGGGTGGGGAAGGAGGAGCCGGTCACAGTGCAGGACAGACTGTGCAGGAGTTTGGAAGGTAGATCAGCTCTTGGAGAGCTTGCACGTCAGTGCCCTGTGACAGTGACTTCCCTGATGTGACACGCAGACAACGTTACCTCCTCTGGGAGGATAGGCTCTCCAGGGACGGGAAGCACGCTGAGCCTGCTGATGGGAGGTGATCTCAGAGCATGTCTGCACACTGTGGTGAGAGTGCAACTTGTGCAGATCTTTCTGCTCAGATAGGCTACCACATGAACTGCACTTCCCTGATCTCAGCTCCTGGCTTGGAGATGGGGCCTTCGTGGCAACGTGGCTGTGCTGCACCAATTTGCAAATAACAGCATGAAAGCAGCTGAGGTCTGTGCTGAGGTCTGCATCTCCTACAGCTGTACCCTCAGGTCTGCAGCGCAGTTGCCCACACGCAGGGAACGTGGGGATATGGATTTCAGATGGTCACCACCATGTTGCTTTTGTTTCTTTTTGCTTTGTTTCTGTTATTGTTTTGTTTTCTTATCATAGACTGCATTTGGAGAGGGATTATCCAACCTGAACTGTGGTTTATTGTCAGTGCGCAAACTGGGCTGGAACACAGAGGTCGGTGCAAGACCAAACCTGAACACAATATGTGTATTTAGTTTCTCCTGTTTCATCCTTGTGGATCCATTCCCATTCACATAGATCCTTTCCATCAATTTCAAGAAAGCCTTAAATGAGAAGTAATGCTTCAGAAGATAAATGAGCACGTTTAGCTCTGCAGTCTCTTTAATGTGACATGTTCCCCCACCATGTCAGTAGGTGAGCCTTTCTGCCTTGCCAGTACTGCACAAACTGGCAAACACACTTGGATACATACGGGATTGAAGTCTGAGTATTTTCTAACACAGAGCTTTGGTTATCTGTGGTCTTTTCCATTTCTCTTTGAATAAGAGACTACTACCAAAGGGGAAAATTGGGTCAAGATCCTACGAGATGTTGTGTGTGTGAGTGTGTGAGTCCAGGAAGTAAGAATATCCTATTGCAGCCAGCATCCACCTTCTTCCTTCTCCTCTTCCTTCTATTATAATTTTTTTAATTTCTTATAAGGAACAAGTAATTTTTGCTTCAACCCAAAGTACTTTGAGAGCTGTTATTTCTCTGTATGCAGTTGACTCCTGCTTCCCATCTCTGAAGTATCTGGAGACCAGACCTGTGCTCGGGATTTCAGGCACATTTTTGTGGCCTCATAGTTCTTTATTAGTTCCAAAAAAGAAGAAAAACTGTTTTTTCATCACCTGCATTTCCATCATTTCTGATGTCTATGGCATCCTCCCAGATGTGTTTCTGCCAGCCTGATCCTCTTGTCGATACTTATTAATATCATGACCATCTCTTCGAGTGTGTTTGGAAACAAATAGGGCAAAGTTACCCTAAGGTCAGGAATGAGCCAAGAGAAGTGAAAATAGGAGTGACCATGCTCTCCACAACAGTTGGTGCTTCTGCAGATTTTCCTATCTTGCCCTTAAAATAAACTTTGCAATCAGATCTGTTGAACACCCCCGAATTGAGGGGAGCCGCTGCCCAAGCCCGGGAGCTCCAGGCACCGAGGTCTTACGACCGAAGTCGTTCAGAGATGCGGAGCCCAAGGCTCAGGCACGGCGCAAGCTCTGCCGATGCGGAACGGATGTCAAGACGAGGGCTTTCGCCGCTGAAATAACCATCCGCCGAAACAACCCAGGAATAAACGGCGCCGGAAAACACGGGGCTGTACAGGCGGCAGCGAGGGCAAGGCACTCCCGGCCCGCAGATGTTTTCCAGGCCACGTCCCGGCTGAGGTGGGCGCCGGCTCCGAGCGCCCCCCGGCCCGGCCCGGGCCGAGCAGCCCGATCCCGCGCCGCCACCGCTCCCTGGCGGGGAAGCGCTCCGCAGCGCGCCGGCTGCAGCACGGCAGGCCGAGTCCTTCCGCGCCGTCCTTCTGCGCTCCGAACCTTTCCTGCCTGCTGGCCCGGCGTGCCGTCAGCCGCGCAACACCGGCAGGGCTTCGCGACGGTCGTGAGGAGCCCGTTCGGTCTGCGCCCACCGCCCGTGGTCCTGGCACGCCGGATGTTGCTGAAGAGAACCTGCGTGTATGGACATGCAGAGGGTGGCGGGGCTGCCGGAGGATTTTTTGGCGGCGGTAAACCTTCACCTGGACCTGAGCGGCCGAAAGCAGCAGTGGGGCAGCTGCCGCCCGATCTCCGGCCGTGGTGGTGGCTGCGGAGATGGAGCGATGCAGCGGGGCGGAGGAAATGGGAACGTAGGGCAGTGCTGCACACCCTATCCCTGTTCTGATCTGGGAATTGACCCTTAATCAGCAACAGTTTGTTAATGGGCGTGCAGGCCGGCTGCGTCCTGCTCTGCATCTTCGGGAAGAGGCAGACCTGCACCTCGCTGAGCTGCCTGGGAAGCGCCGTTTGCTGTAACGTTCTGCGGCCAACGCCACTCGAAGGTTGGGCGGCGCTCTGTGTCCCCGTGAGCGCAGCGCGGGAGAGAGAAGCCTTCAGAACGGGGACAGAGTAACTGCTGGGTGCTGGAAAAGGAAGAGATGGTGGGTTTTGTAGCAGGCTTATCGTAGAGGAAATTGAAAATATGCCTGTGACATCTCTGAAGGCTTTGTGTTAACTTGCATACTGATTGTTCCAGATGTTCCCCAGATGTCAAAGAGAACCAGGCACTGAAGAACACATTTGTTTTAGCAACTCACAGATTTGCTTTTGCCAAGAATAAAGATCCCTGGCTTTGTTTCCTTCCCTAGTAACCTGTAGATCTAATAATGCCACTAATCTAAGCGAAGATGAATCTGTTCAGTTCATTCCGTACGCGTGGTGCTGCCGCCCGTTCTGCTCCGCTCCGCTTCCCTCTCTGCGCGGTGGCCGCCAGTCCACAGGAGCGCGCGCGGGGCAGGGCAGAGCCGCGCCGACCTTCCCATGGCCGCACGTGGGGAGCGGGGCAGCGGCTCGCCGTCACTCCTCCACACCGGCAGGGGACGCTGGCGCAGCGGGCGGGACGGAAGGTGCCGCGGCGCTCCCCGACTTCCGGCGCCGTGCCCCGGAAGTGCGAGCGGGCGCTATGGCCGCTCGCTGAGGTGCGGGGCTGGGAGGTGTTTCAGCTCGGCGGGGAGCTCCGGCGGGGCTCTTCTCGGGGCCCGTCCGACCCCGGGCTCCAGTTGTTCCCCGGGGCGCCCGCTGGAGCCGTTTCCCGCCGTGAAGCTGCGGGCTGCTCCGCGGAGCGGCGGGTTCTGGCTGCGTGCTCGTGCGATGCGTGGCTGCTCGTCGCTGGGGCTGCGCAGCGCGCTCCCGCGTTCCCTCTCTCTCCACGCTGAGAACGGGCTCTCGTCCGTGAGCTGAGTGCCGTGGGCTCCGGGAAACCGAACCGCTGTGCCGCCTGTCAGTTCGTGTCTCGGCAGCCCACGATGAGGACTGTGCTGATGGTGGCGGAGAAGCCTTCCCTGGCGCAGTCCATCGCCAAGATCCTCTCGAGGGGTAGGAATGGAAGCGGCTCGGTTTCGTCCTTTTTTGGCAGTGGCAGAATGGAGGCACTGCCCTGCTGAGGAAATGGACGTGGTCCGCACAGAGCCTCGCTGCGTGAGGCAGTGCTTGAGATCTCTGCGGGAGAAGTGAGGTCAAGAGATAGCCAGGTGGCAGACTTGATTGTCTTTGGGGTAGCAGGCACTGGAATAGTGGCTTAGAGCAGCTGCCCGTTCATGAAATTACTGAGTGGTGCTTCGTTTTGTTCATTCTGCGTATTTTGATGTTCCATTGTTTCTTCAACTTGAGAATCGTGAAATCTGTTTTTGTTACCTCTGGGCAGCCTGATCAGTGCCTGCTTTAGTGGTTGGCACCTCTGTCTGTGGAAGGGGCATTGGAACAAGATAATCTTTGAGGTCCTTTCCAACCCAACCTGTTCTGTGATTCTCTTTTGTATGGCTGTAGTGTGTGTTAGTGCATACAGATTCTGGAAAACGCCAGTCAAGTAGTAAGCTGGTGTCTGGGAATTTCTGAAGCAATGGTAAATATTCTGTAAATGATGTGGATAGCAGAAAACCAGCTGTATTTGCTTAAGGATCTCTTGAAGCTTGATGATCCCTGAGGTTCCTTGCAACGCAAGCCATTCTGTGGTTCTGGTGGGGAAAGATAAAGGAGATTCTAGATATTTCAACCGAAAATGAATTATGACAGAAAAAGTTTAAAACAATAGTTGGAGCAAAACCTTGATCAAAGAGTTAGAATTTTATGAGCAGGAAGATCCTAGTTGTCTGGTCTAGAGAAAAGGGGGTGTAATTATGAAAGAACAATGTTTCAGTAGTTGTTTTTTTATTACTTCTTAGTTTGTATTTTGTTGTTAATTGTGTTCTTATTCCCACAGGAAGCATGTCCTCTCGCAAGGGGCTGAATGGTGCATGCTCTGTGCATGAGTACTCGGGGTCGTTTATAGGGCAGAGTGCCCGTTTCAAGATGACATCTGTGTGTGGTCATGTCATGACTTTGGATTTCATAGGTATTTGTCTGTTCATTGAGTGTTTTAACTGATATGGCTTGTAAAATTTTCAAGGACTGGATTATTTCCGTGTATGATGTTTTCTTCAGGAAAAGCATTAAAGAGAACAAGAGCAGAAGGGAGTATGACAATATCACTTGTGGTCTCCAGTTTTTAACTTTTGTTTCTAGCCCCCTGGCTGACTTGTATGACTGTGCAAACACATCTTCAATACCTGAATTATATTATGAGTCTTAATTTGCCAACTATTAAATTCTGAATTACAGTGCTTTAAAGAGTACAGTGTCATATAATTGTTAAACAATTTTGTGAACAGTTATTTTTGACAAAGGGAAATGAGCAAATGCTCTGATATGAGAAGATGGTGGTACTGGATGCTTCACAGCATAATAGGGCTGTGACATAGCTGGCCATGAGTAATGATAAAAGAGTGCAGTGTGCACCTCTTGTGTGCACTGTGAAAACCAGGAAAAATTGCTCCCTGGCCTGATAACTGATTGCAGGAACAGGAGTTTTTTAATAGCTCACATTAATGTTTCTGAAAGATGTGTAGTATGTCTCTAAATTCTGTCTGCCGTGTCTCAGAATTACAGCTGCAGTTCACACAGAGTTAAGAGGTCACTTGATATCCAGTAAAGCAAGATGCATTAGGATGGAAGGCTTTCCAAGACAAAGTTTGACAGCCAAACTATTGTTCTGGGGTTTTTAATGTTTATTTACAGCTCTACTTTAATGCACTTCTGCTTTTCAGGAAAATATAACAGCTGGGACAAGGTGGATCCAGCAGAACTTTTTAGCAAAGCTCCCACAGAAAAGAAAGAAGCGAATCCCAAACTGACCATGGTGAAGTTTTTACAGGTATTCCTCTTATGAAATGTTTTTGAGATTTGTGTCAAAACAAACGATCCCTGTGTGTATTGGATACGTGTTTGGCTTCTAACAGCACATGGAAGATCTAGTCTGCAAATGGCTCCTTCAAAATATCTCTGTTAGCCTCTTATCATGTGCACTTCTGTGGGAAGAAAGTGATAGTTTGGATCCTTTTTCAAAATTATACTCTTTCTGGAAAGAAGGTGTTTGGTGTAAGACTGATATCTGTTGGATAAGTTTAGATTTCCTGGCATCTTTATGAGCTAGAAAAGTCGTTCTTGATTTGTTGTTGTTGTTATTGTTTGTTTGATTTAATGATGTGAGAATTAAGACAGAGGAAGGGGAAGGGACTGGGCCAAAGATCATGCATATAGTGTGGGGCAGGAGTTCAGAAGCCTTCTGCTACTGCAGAGCCATCCATGCTGATATATGTATTTTTTCAGGCAGACTTTTGGTTCTGTGAAGCACATCTTTCTTTTCTCTTAAACCATTCTATAATTACATGCTGTTTTCTTGTTCCTTTTGCTTTCTTCTCCCAATTCTTTTTGCACCAAATAAATTGTATCAATCTTTAGAGCTTTAAAACAGAAACAAAAGCTGTACAGTTACTGAAGAGATTTTTTGTTTGAGTTGCTGGTTACTGTGCTAATTTCTTTTACAGGTGGAGGGAAGAGGCTGTGATTGCATTGTCTTGTGGTTGGATTGTGATAAGGAGGGAGAAAACATCTGTTTTGAAGTAAGATTTCTAATACCATATTGTATTAATTTGTAGCATGAGGTACTATCAGTATGTTGTTCTTTGGATACATGGTAATATTCAAACTAAGTTAAATAAAAATTTAAAAGCATGGGGAACCTTGGTGGAAAAGCTCGTGTTTTTGAATTCATAAGATGTCAGTCAAAGAGTGTAATTGATTTCGTTGATGTTGCAGATCAGAGAGGAATAATAAGATCTCTTAAATGTTGAAATGTAGCAGTGCTTTCTGTCGGAGTCAGTATTTCACAGCTGGTTTAGTTATTTTTGCCATCCTTATAAAATTAATTTCCATTATCCTAGCTTAGTTGAGACACTTCTGAGCATAGAGGCTGTTTGTAAATGTTGGCTTACAGCAGGAGTTTGGACTCTGCACCTTAAAGATGTAGAACTACAACTTTGTGGTGTACAGAGACTTTTCAAAAAAATCCCATTCCCTGAAGTCTCCATTGTATGGGAGCTGCTGGGTCACAGCCTGAGCCTCTGATTGATCACCTGAGGGAGCACTGAGTCAGCCAGGGGAGCACAGGTGAAGGCAATGCAGCTGTGCTGCCAGAAGAGGTGGAGCCAGGCTGCACCCCTCCTAGACCTGTTTAAGAGCTGGCTACCAGTGGGGAAGGATCTCTGCTGGAGATCTGCTCTGCTGGAGTTTTGTAAGTGAGCCCAGGGGTAAGCTTTCTATCTATTCTCTTCTTGTTATCATAATCTGCTTTGCCAAACTCTCTTGTTTATTTTGTAATTATAACGTCTTAATATTCATTGATTATACACTCCATGAAAACTATTTTTTTCTCTTGTTTAAAAAGCACATTTTATGAAGTATTTAAGTTCTTTAAATACCACTGTTTCATTACTGTGCCTTGGCAACCTAGGTAGAAACTGATGCACGTTCATCAGATATTCGTAGTACAACAGCTACAGTGGTGAGACTCTTTGCTCTGAGCTAGGAATAGTGTTTCACTTCCAGCAGTTGCTGTTTGATATACAGATCTTTCATTTTTTTGTAGTTCTTAATATGCTTTTTAGTGTACAGACAAATACTGTTCTTATCAGTTTATGTACTGACATGATATCTTACTGAACGAGGAAAACAGTTACTCATCAGCAGGTGTTTTGTGGGGAGGTTTTGGTTTGTTTTTTGCTCCTGAGAGAAAAACTGATTTAACCCTGAGCTTTCAGTTACTTATAAAATCTGCTTTTGATCTTCATTAGGTTCTTGATGCTGTTCTTCCTGTTATGAACAAACCTCCTAGCACTGAAAGGACAGTTTATAGAGCTAAATTCAGTTCTATTACTGACACAGACATCTGCAATGCTATGAATCATTTGGGAGAGCCCAATCGCAATGAAGCTCTTTCAGTGGATGCCCGCCAGGAGCTGGATCTCAGAATTGGCTGTGCATTTACAAGGTGAGAGCATAGATGGGATGTAGTTTTATGAAAGGTTCAGGAGTACTGTTCTGTCAGCAAAATACGCCTTAGAGCTGTGGCTAATTCTACTGAGTACCAAAGCAAACAGTTCTGTGCTGTAAAGTGAAAAATGTGTTATAGCTTTAACTAGGTTAGAGAAAATAATGTCAGCAGATAATAGATATCTTATTTAGTCTTCTCACACTTCCTTGGGAGTAAGCAGAATTCTAGGAAGCAAAGTAATTCTAACTTCTTTAGCTTTAAGACTTGTTGTTTTTGAAAATAGTTTTTTTTTTTTTTAAATATGTATATACCTGAGTGACTTAGCAAATTATTCATACGTATCTGGAAAAGTTCCTGAAAGTTGCTTCTTTGCATGGGAATGAGGATATTGATGTATTTATTGCTATATATTATCTCCCCCTTAAGATTTCAGACCAAGTATTTTCAGGGGAAATATGGAAATTTAGACAGCTCCCTCATCTCCTTCGGGCCATGTCAAACACCAACACTTGGATTCTGCGTTGAAAGGCACGACAAAATCCAGTCATTCAAGCCTGAGACTTACTGGGTGCTGCAGGCTAAAGTAAGCTTTGTGTTACTTGTTTGATTAAAGCATGTTTTCCTTCTTATGTACAAAGAAATGCACTTAATATTTTCATTTTGTCCATTCATAAATTTGTAGCTGCTGACAAGGATTCACAGTGCCTCCAATTTACTTGTTATTTTCTTTCAGTTTACATGTGTGTGTGTGTCACCACTCTCTCTAGAGCAGATTTGATGATGTCAGTTCTGTGTTCAAGTGGTAATTGTATGCTGCCCATAAGAATTCCTCAGTGCTAACCATCTAAGCTTAGACCCAGCCAGAAAGACTACTTGAAATGGCTTGCTATTGTTCCCTGGGGTCCTTGGACCAACTGTGGTGTTAATTTGAATCCAAGAATAAATTTGTCTGCCAGCAAGCATTGGCATTGCTGAGTATTGGAATTCTAAAGTAAATAAAATGTTCATTGTGTTGATGCTGAGTCCTCTGAATGCTTTGGCTGCTTATGGCAGTTTTATAGCCTTGCTGCTGTCCAAGCTTGGAGAGCAAACCAACATGATTTTACTGTTTGTGATGACATGGATTGTGTAAATAAATAGAAGATAGATGGTAAGAAGTTGCCATTTTTAGATTTTAAAATTTAAAAAGAAAAAAAAGGTGAAATCCAGAGTCTACTCTCATCTGTTTTTTGATACATCTCATTTATTTGTGTTGTGCTAGCAAGTATTTGGTGCCGTTTTCAGGGAGTTGCATGCACACACACTGATTAGTTCATATTTATTTTTGTAGGTGGGACTTGGAATGGGGCCTACATACACTTTTTTTTTTTTTAATGCAAAGAATTAATTTTGCAAGTCAAAATGATAAACGTTGAATTTTTGCCCTTTTTGCCTTTGTTATTCCAAATATTAAAAATAAAGATAGAATTTCAGTTAACTGCAAGAGTAATTCCAGTCATTCTCCTGAAGTCAAATTACGCTGTTTCTCAAAAGCCACTGGAACGTGAGTACAGCTGTGTGCTTGGAGCTCTTGTAGAACATCTATTACTAGGGTTTACTTTCTGGATTATTGGAATAGTTGGAATAATTATATATATATATATTAATAATAATTGGAATTATAATTGGAATATATATATATAATTGGAATAATAATTGGAAAAGTGCATTCTGCACTTTTAATAATAGTGTTGGTGGGAGTTTAGTTGTTGTTGTTTGTTTTTTGATCAACCAGGTGAACCCTGAGAAAGAAAGTTCTCTCACTTTGGGTTGGGATAGAGTGCGGGTATTTGATCGTGAGATTGCTCAGATGTTCCTGAATGTAACAAAGACGGCAAGAGAAGCAAAGGTAGGAGTATTTACTAGGTGTTGCTAGAGCATATTTCACATAAAGGAGATGCTTTATACTTAATATTTCATCTACTGTATATTGTTTTGGTTTTGTGTTCTTTTGGTGAAGAAAGTTAGGAAATATTTTTAAATTCAATTCAACTTTGTATAAACAATAAGCAAAAAGGTTCGTGATTGTAGTTTGTGTCGTTTGAGTCGCACTGGTATGGTCATCTCAACAGAAGCCCATTCTGGACTTTGGAAATGGTCATCATTCATGACAGGAATTAGCAGTCTTCATTGCTGAACTTGCTGAGAAATGCAGTTCAGAACTCTGAGCAGACCTCTTATTTCCCAAAGGACACTGTACAGATCAGAATTTGCTTACTTGTGTAACAGCACTCCTGCAGTTAAATTTTTAATTGTGTATGGTGCAGTCTTTATAGCCAACTAACTTGTAATTCTGTTCTGTTCAATACTTGTTTGTCAGTGTGTTGGGATTTAAATGTTAACAGCTATCAACATTCAGAGGCTGTGCGAAGTCTTCAAAAATCTAGATCCCTATCTTTAGGGACCACTACTTGGATTGAGCACTACACCCTTGCAGCACTGACAAATGTGCTGCTGAGCTAAATGGGAAGTGAAGATAGCAATAAGCTGCTTTTCTGCATATCCAGTGGTAGGTCTGATCTAGTCCATGGTGTGAAGGGACCCTTGGGCTGTACCTTCAGCATTTGGTAAAGCTGTTTCCAGTCAGATTTCCACCAGATTTGATGGTTACTGTTCTAAGGAAAAAAATCAAAGCAGATATGACAAAAGCAGGTAATGTAGTTATACCACGTGGTTTTAATCATAACGGAAATTATGCATTTATCAATTACCAAGCTTCAAAACTTTTACTGGAAAAATGCTATTTTCTAGGTAGAATCTGTGAGTAAAAAAGAGAAGGTGAAGCAGAGACCACTGGCTCTGAACACGGTAGAAATGCTACGAGTGGCCAGTGCTGCTTTAGGTACGTGTAAAAGTTTAGATTTTCACACTGATTTAGAGCAAAATACTTTGGATTCTCAGCTGAAAAAAATCAAGCCTGTATAAAATATGTTTTGATGAGTCTCCTCTCCCTACAGTGTATCACTTTTGGGAAACACGTTTAGAAAGCATGTCAGAAATGCTGGGTCAGATCAAGGTGGCAAAAGCCTTACAGAAAGGACAAGCAGTAATTTATAACTAATGGAAATGTTTTGATAAGGTATGCTTTAAGACTCGGCAACCAAACCATCTACAGATCGCTGTATGATTTTCTCCTCTCCTGTGCCATCCCAGGAATGGGTCCGCAGCACGCCATGCAGATAGCAGAGCGTCTGTATACGCAGGGTTATATCAGCTACCCTCGAACAGAAACTACCCATTATCCAGAAAACTTTGACTTGAAGGGATGCTTGAGACAACAAGCTAATAATCCTTACTGGGCAGAAACGGTGAGTACGTAAAGTAACACCTCTGCTGTTCTACAGATGGTTCTCTAGTCCATGGTGTAACACATCTCACCTGTACGTTTTGATCTGTAATTGCTTTTACATACAGATATTGTAGTTACGGGTTTGATCTCAACAAAACTTTTAACCTGATAGTGGTGACCTGCTACCCACTTCAGCCTGTTTTCTCTCTTTTCCTTCACCCAGGTAAAAGCATTGCTATCAGAAGGCATCAATCGTCCAAGGAAAGGCCATGATGCAGGGGACCATCCTCCCATCACTCCAATGAAAGCTGCAACAGAAGCAGAATTAGGTATAGACAAATTGAATAGTGTTAGAACGCTCTGAGGAAATCTGCTCCTGAAGGTTTGGGAGCTATGTTAAAAGACTTTAGGTTTTAATGTAAAATCTGAATTGGAAGAACTGGACAGAAGAGCAGACTTTACCTTAAGTTTCTAATAACAGCAAAGATCAGAACTCTCAGATTTGCCCTGTAATGGCTTCAAAGTGCTGAAACTTTATTAAATATTTCTGCTTGAAATTCAGACTTCAGCCGAATTTAATTTTTTTTCCTCTGTGTTTTGTGTTCATTTTGTTAAAATGTAAGATTTGACTCTATGCTGTGACCTGTTAAAGAGAGATTTAAAAATTATAAGGAAGTATAGTGAATGTGATGTGTTTATTAGGAATAACTAAGATTGTTGTAGAAAACTTGTAAATCTTGATTTTCAGCCATCAGTGAAATCAGCTCTGATAGAGAAGTAAACTGAGTAACCATGTAGCTTACGGAATGGCTATGTAAAACTTCTTTATACACAGTAGGATGAAATCTGCAAAGCACAAGACTGATACTTAGAAGCTTAGTTTTCTGTTTATAACAGTGTAACCTCCACTATTTGATTTCCTAGCTATATATTGTGATTAAGGAAACTGCACGTAGCTCTTGTCTGTGCTATGCTAGTTTGCCAGGCAATCTGGTTGATAACATTTAAAAAAAAAAAAAACACAAAACAGTGTAACAGAGGATTCTAATGTGATTTTATGGGTAGGCAATTTTAAAGGGGAAGTTGGATGGACTTCTGAATCTTATTTTCTCTTAGTACCAGTTTTCCCTGTGGTTTCTGTGGAAATCTGATATCTTCTAGTGCAGATTTTATATGATGCTGCAAGACTTATTTGTGGGAGTAAGATATTGTTTATCCCCAGGTGGAGATGGGTGGCGACTGTATGAGTACATAACTAGGCATTTCATTGCCACTGTGAGTGCTGACTGCAAGTACCTACAAACCAACATTTCTTTCAGTATTGGCCCTGAACGTTTTAGCTGCGTTGGAAAAGTGGTAACTTCACCAGGTAAGACTAACCAGGGAGTAAGTAGTTAGCTACAATTTGAATGACCAATGCATGAATTACCAATTCATGCATTAAATAGATATAAAAGTGAAGTTTTGGAGCAAGTCGAATTTAAGACTTTTTTTCCTGGAGCTTATTAAGATCACAAGGACTGAATCTTTGTCTTTTCGTTTCTGTTACCCTAGAAAAGGATGTACTTCCCACGTAGTAGTTTCAAAGTTTTTAGTGCCACACTTACCAGTGTAAAGACCAGTTGTTGTTTTTCAGACTGCAAATGCTTTTTGTGATTTATATTATACAAGGATTGATTTTTTTTTATTTTTATTTTTATTTTTAATTTTTTTCCTTGAGCCTCAGGAAAAAGACTGTAGTACCCTCAGTGAAATGTTCACAGCAAGTCATCTGTTACATTAATACAACTTAGTATTTGCATTTTCTTTTTAAGAGGCTCTTCCCATCCATTTGGTAAGACTTTTGGCACTATGCTTTCCTTTGAGGAAAGCCTTGGTTGGTTTTTTCTTTTTCTGCAGTTTCATTTTTCTCTCCATATATCAGCTGGACCCAATTTTCCACAGAACAGCTTTGATGCAGTGGGAGATCCCATTTCTTGATATAGTATTTCAAATATTGTCTGCAGGGAGGGCAAACAGCCTCTCAACTTTGATATGCATTGTGTAGCCCACGTTAAAATCAGAAATAGGAGTCTTGGCCTTTTGTAAGCTGTGAAGATAAGCTCTCATTATTTTGTTTACCTCCAGGGTTCACAGAAATTATGCCTTGGCACAGCATTCCGTTAGAAGAGAGCCTTCCCTGCTGTGAGAAAGGAGATCTCTTTCCAGTTGGGGAAATAAAATTGCTGGAAATGCAAACCAGTCCTCCTGACTACCTGACAGAAGCAGAACTCATCACACTGATGGAAAAGCATGGCATTGGTAGGTGCTTGCTTAACACACATTTATCCTGTAATACATCTGCTAAGAGGGCAAAGGGTCTGAATCACCCCTCTGAACTTTCTCTGTTGGTAATGACCTTTCAGTATTCATTTGAATAAGTCCAGACATGATCTCTTTCCCATCAAACCACAATGCCTGTATCACCTCTTAGTGGATGGTAGATTCTGCTTTCCCCACATTTCGTTCATTTTATCCTTATGCCCAGTTTCTGACCAAAGAAAAAAATGTTCTTAATCTCTCCTTGGCACTTCTGTGTCATAGAGAGCTATTGCGTGGAAGAATGTGCCTCCAGTTGTTAGCAATGGTTTTCTGTCTGTGCAGTTTGCCTCAGTTTTGCTGGCTCCAATAGTCTTTAAGTATTTTATTATATAATTTATTACAGTGTTATTTTTCTTTTTCAATCTGACTTGCTTCCTTCAGTACATTTTCATAAACATGTCCAGTCCATACAAACACAGTATCTTTTTTCCACTTTATTTTTCCAGAACAAGTGATTGTGAGAATAGCTTCCTTCCCATCACTAATTCCTTGGAAGAGATGAAGGGATTAAGGTTAAAACATGTTTCAGCCTTCTGAGAACTGCAAAGGAACATATAAGTCAACAGATAGAGATATTGTCCACTGGAAACTGGGTATTAGCAAAAAGCAGTCTCAGAAGTGCTGTAATATGACACAAAACCAGAGAAGTCAGAAGCTAGTAGTTCAGTGAAAACTTTGGATTATTTTGTCTTCCTTTGTGTGGCAGGAACTGATGCAAGTATTCCAGTTCACATCAACAACATTTGCCAGAGAAACTATGTCACAGTGGAGAGCGGTCGGAGACTAAAGCCTACAAACCTTGGAATTGTTCTGGTTCATGGTTATTACAAAATAGGTCAGTTGAATGCTCTCCTCCAAATTCATCCTCTTACTTTTTGTCCCCTTCAGTAAGTCAGGAGCTTTTGTCATTGTATAAATAATCTTTGTCTGAAGAGATACCTCTAGGAAAGTATTACTAATTCTAAAATCTGTAAAAACTCAAATTTATTTTGATATCGTTTTATATATAGGCAGTTTCTTCTGTTTTTGGTCGACTGTTGCTGCTGCTTTGTTGCTACTGTCTTTGTTTTTTCTGGTAGATGCAGAATTAGTTCTTCCCACAATCCGCAGTGCTGTGGAGAAGCAACTCAACTTGATAGCTCTGGGTAAAGCAAATTACCACCAGGTCCTGGAGCATACCCTTGACATCTTCAAAAGAAAATTTCACTATTTTGTGGATTCTATTGCAGGTAAAACTTGTAGGGAATTTCACATGTACAGCAACTACTAAATTGTTGTACTTTCAAATGAGGTTGCTTTTAGGGTTTTAGGCTCACTGAAAGTTGTGCCAGGACTGTTGCTTTACAAAGGAGGTTTGATCGTGTCTCCAAAATTCCACTTAAAATTGGTTTTGTGACTGCGTAGTGGTGAAAAGCTTCAAACAAGCTGAAGTACTTACTCTGCTGTGTTTGTGGATGCTTATTGCAAAATAATAATTAAAGAAAAAAAAGTTATCCTGAACAAGGAAGTGTAATTGTGGTGAACTACTTTAATTCCCACTACGTCTTCACTGGTCCTGTAAATAGTATTGTGCGAAGTTTCCTCCTGGGGGAAGAATTCTAACACAGATGGAATTCCTTTTTCTCCAGGTATGGATGAGCTGATGGAAGTGTCATTTTCACCCTTAGCTGCCACAGGTAAACCTCTTTCCCGCTGTGGCAAATGCCATCGTTTTATGAAATATATTCAGGTAAGTTCACATTGTGTTTGGATTTTAAATTTCACTTACTGGGGAGCAGTGATTAGAAACCCCCTTGCCATTGTTCAGTGTGGATTCAAATGTCGTTGTCAAGAAAGCACTTCATGGGGAGGAGGGGAAAGGGTGAAGCCTGATGCAGTTTTTCTATGCAGTGCAAATCAGAGTGGTCACTGCCGGATTTCCTGCAAGTTTTGAACTGGCCATACAGATGTTCTGAAGAGTTGCATTCTCTTTCCAGGCCAAACCAAGTCGTCTGCACTGCTCTCACTGTGATGATACCTACAGTCTTCCACAGAACGGTACAATTAAGCTCTACAAAGAGTTGCGTTGCCCCCTTGATGACTTCGAGCTGGTGTTGTGGTCGTCTGGATCCAGAGGAAAGAGCTACCCACTCTGTCCATACTGTTACAACCATCCTCCCTTCAGGGACATGAAAAAAGGTAAAATAAATAAAATGCAGGGGGTTTAGCTCAAATGTTAGTTATCTTTGTGAAAGTTCCCTGTGTATTTTCTTGAATATGAGAGGCTGCTGTTACTGCTTTTGCTACAAGACAGAAGAGAGAGGCTGGTGTGCTTTCAACTATTGTTCCTACTTGAGTGTTCCTGGAGTTTAGTGAAAGCTGCTTTTGTCAAAATAGCAGCATTTTGGGCATGAATTCAGATGTTAGAAGATGAGCCATTTTTTGAATCCATCTTTTTCTAAAAGGATGTGGAGCATCTGGAGAAATGTTTTAGAGTTGGTCATGCAGCCACGTCTTACAGTTTTTAGGAAAACTGTTACTCAGAATGTTGAATAAACCACAACAGATTTTATGAAGAAAATACAATATTAACTGATCTACATGCACAGTAGGTGACCTTTCTAACATTTGTTATATGGATGAGACTATAGATTAAGGATAGAGGGGGAGAACTGTATTTTGATACAGGGATATAGATGGTACGTTAGAAATTATTGAAGGATGTAAGAAGGGGCAAAAATAGCATAGCAGTTAGTATAGTAACTGAGATCAAAAGCTATGTAAGTTAATGCTTGGAGGCTTTGAATGAGTGGCTGGAGCTTTCTGACATCATTTTTTTTTTTTTATTACTGTCTTGTGATTAAAAATGTCTTATGCTATTAGCATACAGTGTAACTGTAAAGAGCAATTAGGAGTCATACATTTAATTGAAAATGTTTTTTCAGCACTTCATATATCCAAACAATGTGCTGTACAGTGGCATTGTCTAGGAGTCATTGTACGATTGGGAGCAAGGGGTTATTCTGAAGAAGTGAAAAGACAGGTCTCCTTTTGGAGTTCTGTTCTGTTGTGCAGTGGTTTAGAAAATTGATAGCGTACTAAGCTGTCTTTCAATTCTGTGTCTCACTTTCTGCAAACTGAGCAGCAGTAATATAGAGGATTCCACAGTGGTATAGTTTCACTCTTCTTCCACCAGGAATGGGCTGTAATGAATGCACCCACCCCACATGCCAGCATTCTCTTAGCATGCTTGGAATTGGGCAGTGTGTTGAATGTGAGAATGGAGTTCTGGTGCTAGACTCAACGTCAGGTCCCAAGTGGAAGATGGCCTGCAACAAATGCAATGTGATTGTGCATTTCTTTGAGAATGCCCACAAAGTCCGAGTGTCACCAGAGACCTGTGAGTTGTGTGATGCCGCTCTTGTGGACGTAGATTTCAACAAAGCCAAATCTCCTCTACCTGGTGATGAGACCCAGCATTCAGGCTGTGTATTCTGTGACCCTGTGTTTCAAGACCTGGTGGAGCTGAAACACGCAGCCATGAGGCACCCCATGCACCGTGGCGGACAAGGGAAAAGGCAAGGTCGAGGAAGGGGAAAAGGGCGGAGGCCTGGGGGAAGACCCAACCCAAAGAAACCCAAGGACAAAATGGCAGCTCTGGCTGCTTACTTTGTATAATGGTCACACAATGCAAAATAAATAAACTTCTTATAAAAAATTTGTTTCTGTTGCTGTCATTGTTTCCTGTGCTAAGGCAAGTACTGTATTGGTATGTGTTGTGTTTCTGGTTCTAAGTGGAAAAAGAAGAGTAGCAGTTCTCTGCGGGAAGTTGGTGCTGGGTGGATGTAGAGAGCATCAAAATGCGGATTTTAGATTTGATGGTTATGTAGAAAGAAGAAAAAGACATCTGCTAGGACTCGTGTCTGTCTGGGGCTGGTGATGCTCAGGTGTGACCTTGCCCTTTAACTACAGCTGCGTATCTACTTTTAACTGCATTCAACTTTATAGTTAAAAGTTTAAAAGCATTGACCGCTTATTCTTTCTTTTCAGAGCTCTGCGGTGATTGAATAAGCGGGAGGCAGATGTGAGCTGGCTTTGGCGATAGGGGGTGGGGGGACAGCGAGCAGCGCCGCCAGCGGAGTGAGGAGGGGAGAGCGACGGCAGCTGTCAGCGCACCGAACCGCAGCCGGTGCTTCTGCTTCGTTCCTTGCTGGAAACGTTCCGTTCTAACCGGGTACCGCCAGAAGCCTTTTCTGCGAGGGAGAGGAACCCTACGGTTGCGTCTGAAGTGAAAAGCTGCTGCAGGTTGTGCGTGCTGAAGCTCCCTCCGTTGGGTGGACGCGCCGTTACCCGCGCTGCGGAGCCGCCGGCCGGGCTCCCGTCCGCCCCGCGGGAGGAGCGCCCGCCCCGTCCGGCCACGTGCCGCCCGGCCCCGCCCCGCCCCGCTTAAAGGCGCCGTCCGGGCCCCGCCGTCCACTCCCCTCCCTTCCCCTCCCCTCCCCGCAGCCCCTCGGCGCTCGCGGCCGTCAGCGGCGCCGCCATGGCGCTGGAAGCGGAGGCTGCCGGGGCTCCCCTCGGCTCCTTCCTCAGGGACTTCCCGTCCGCTCTGGGCCCGGGGGAGCCGCTGCCGTGGAGCTCGGCGTGGAGCGGCGCCCTGAGCGAGGCCGAGGCGCCGGGCGCGCTGGCCGAGTTGGCGGGGAACCTCCTGGGCGGCAGGTGAGCGCCGGGCGGGGCGGGGCGGGGCGGGCGGGGCCTCTCCTCAAAGGCCCTGAGGGAGCGCAGCTGCCTCCGGGCCTCGGCCGGACCCCGCGGGGCGCTGCGGCGCCGGGACTCGGCCGGGCGAGGCCTCGCGGTGCGGTTCCCGGCCCTGGAGGGGCGGCGCGGCGCGGCCTGACCGCGTCCGGCTCGGCGGGGCCGGGAGGGGAGGGGGCGGGAGGCCGGCTCCGTTCTCTGTGCCTCGGTTCGGCCGCGCCGGCTGTGAGTGCTGGGCGCCCTGTCGCGGCCGGAGGTGGCGGGCGGTTCGCCGTGGCCGCTGTGCGCCTTGGTGCCGCTCCGCTGAGTGGCCCGCTTAAACCCGAGGGCAACAAACGCGTCAAAACCGAACTTTTTGTTTGAACGTTTTCATTTGGTTGGGAGGAGAACGGTCGGTGTTCCTCGGCTGTGCCGTGACCGAATCGCTCCACACGAAGCAGGGCCGAGCCCTCAGCGCCTCGCGGAGCCGCCTGCCCGCCGCGCCTCGCTCCGGCGCGAGCAGAACGGGGCTGCGGAGATGCAGGCTGCGTTCTTCAAACCGCAGCGATGGTTGCAGTGGTGTTTCTGAGTTACTCACCTGCGTTAAGAAGCGAGAACAGGGAGAGCGCTGCTCTTGCGATACTTTCACCTCACCTGTCGCTGTTGTGTTTACGGGGCGCAGCCTGCCCTGTCAGAGCTGCATTGCTCGCATACCTGCCCTGCAGCGCCGAGCAGGCAGCCTGCTTAGTGGGGCTCCTGAAGCTGGCAGGGAAAGTGTAAGCAAAGGGGGAGGTGGCTAAAGAAAGCGAAACAGAATAAAAATGTAAAGATCGACTTACTTATGCTCCTTCTCACAAAAGGGACTTGGAAAACAGAAATACCAAAGGGTAGCGTTCTTACGCAACTCTGACCATAAGGTCGCAGTTACTGACTGAGCTGAAGGCTCGAATTTTCAGTCTGGCCAGAGAAGAAGACCACCCTTCCCATGCAGCACGATGGCTCCAGGCCCTGGAGCAGTTGGAAGACTGTAGAGTACATTGCTGGTCTTGGCTGGACTGTCCTACCACACCTGTATCCCTAAGGCTGCACACTTGGCTTGCATGGAAGAGCCGGGTGTCTGGAGCTGACCCTCTTGCTTGTCTTTGCTAATCTAAAATGAATTATTCTAACTATCTTCTGCAAATGTAGCTGGCACTGTGAGACAGGCAACGCTTTTGCTTCCTGACCAGGTTTAATGTCTTATCTACTGAATCTTTGCAGATACTTCTACTTCGGATAATTTAAATCAAGGAAGTGCCTGCCTCATACAGAGTTAAATACTTACATAGAACTCTTAGGAACTGGGCAAAACAATCCTCTTGTTTTGCAGAATTTTTATTAATACTCTTCTGGCTAAGAGCATGCCTTACCACAACCTGTGAAAATGGATTGATGTGAATGAGAATTTAATTATTTCCAAACATTTAGAAATTAACCTAAAATGTTACTGTCCTGTACTGAAACAGAACACGAGATGTAATCTTAGCAGGAATACAGAAATGTTTCCTTTGCCTTGGTGGAAGCTGAAGACCATCCCATGACACAGCGAAAGAACAATGTGGTTTTCCAGCAGACTTCCTGTTTGAGCAGACTTCACTGCAATAACAGCTGTGAGCTGCAGCTTTCCGCTGTGGCCCTTCCTGAAGCATTTGCCATGTTTCGTCTCTTAGCTGCCTCAGCATCCTGTTCTCTGTCTTTGTGCTCTGCACTGTAATGCTTACACCTGAGGCATAGCCCTGGTGTATTTGTTTTCAGCAGTTCTCTGCTTTTATTTTGCAGTTCTGATATTTTAACGTTTTTATGTGATGTTCACGTGAAGCTGGGAGAGGGATTTGTCTTGTGTCTGATTTACTCAATCTCTTCTAAGAGCAACCTTCATTATCCTCCTCTCTGAGCACTGTTACTGACCCAGCATTTAATGAATCACCCCACGCTTACTTTCTCACTCTTGGTTTTGGACAGCGTATGTTACTGTGATGCACAGAGTACTGCTCTTTGCTAGGAACATGTTCATGATCTCAGTGATCCATTTGCTTTGTGTGAACACCTACCAACAAACTTTCCTCTTTTCATGGGACCAGTTGTGCTCAGCTGTGAAAGCAAGTGTGGATTAGCAGGAATGCCTGTTTTCAGGAACCACCAGTGTGCGCATTTGTTCATGGTTCGTAGTGTTATGGCTGGAAACCTTGATGAGATCAATGCACAAGAGGCATGTAGTGCTTTTGCTGCTTACTAGTTGATTTTGTAAATTATTAACAAATAGAGTCTAGGAATTTTGGGTGATGATCAAAACCAGCTTGTTCTGTGTTGCAACTGAGGCCTCCAAAATAGCAGACAGGGAGCTGTTAGAGAGGGTCCAGAGGAGGGCTGCAACAACGATGAGAGTTTGGAGCACCTCCACTATGAATGCAGGCTGAGGGAGCTGGGCTTATTCAGCCTGGAGAAGACAAGGCTGTGAGGAGTTCTCACGGCAGCCTTTAAAAGGCGATTATAAAAAAGGAAAGGAATAAACTTTTTTCTTCAGGTAGATAGCAACAGGACAAGGGAGAGTGGTTTTAAGCTTAAGGAGGGAAGATTTAGATTGGATGTCAGGGGGAAGCTCTTCAGAGAAAGTGGTGAGGTACTGGAACAGGCTGCATGGAGATGTTGTGGATGCTCTGTCCCTGCAGGAGTTCAAGACCAGCTTGGATGGGGTCCTGGACAGCCTGAGCTAGTGCCAGATCTGGAGGGTGGTGGCCCTGCATGCCACAGGGGGGTTTGGAGCTTGATGATCCTTGGGGTCCCTTCTAGCCCAAGCCATTCTATTATTCTGTATCTGGAGGAGAGAAACTAAAGTCACAGACTGGGGAGAAAATACTGAATACAAGCAACTATTGTTTATCGGGAGATCTTATGACCTGATGTTATTTCAGCAGCATCAGAGACCTGCTAGAGAGCTGCTGGCATTTGCAGATCTGCATTAAAAATGCTTTGCTGATGCAGTTGTAATGTGCTATAAACACACCGAGTCTGCAGTGCCAAACTTTTGCTTCAGTGGCAGAGCTGTACTGTATGTGCTCTTCTGGTGTTACAGCTACCAGTAGGAGCAAAAATAGGTCTTCCCTACTGCTGCTGCCTGAAGCTAGAAGCGTTTGATGGCAGATTTAACATCTCTTCGTCACACAGCCTACACCTACCTCTCTCTATAGCTTTTGTGTGTGTATATATATCTGATTATATAGATATGCTGAAAGGAGGATTGTACAGTGGCAGCCCTTTAATATTTCATCTGTAACTCTTTTTTTTCTGTGAAAAGTGGCAAGTGGTCTTCAGACATAGCCACTGCAGTTAGCGAGCTCTTGTTCTTGTTGTCATAAAGAGACTCCGGACGTGGCTGTGGAATAGAGTGGAATAGAGCATGTTGGGGAATGTGAATTATTTTCCTCCCAAGAAAAGGGGAAAACATTCCGCAGGCTTTGTGTAAGCCTTGGGTGCTCGGTCTGTCCCCATGAGGCTCGTAGCACCCTGCACTGGATCATGCAGAGCTTGCTGCTCTGCTCCAAGAGCAGCTGTTTGGAGCCTGCCATCTGTTGCAGAATGCTGCTTTCTCAAAACTGCCACAAGCTGCAGGCACAGAGCATGACAGAAAGCCTGTGTGTGTTTGCAAGCCTCTGAAAGAAACGTAGTCGGAGCTGAGGCTTTACTCTTAATGCTTTTGTCTATTCTCAAGTCTTTAAAATGAGGCTCATATTTTACCGTAGAGTAGCTGGAGGATATGAACTCTGTGCCCCAGCCACTGGTGTTCTGATTTCAGCTGGCATTGAAGCTACAGTGCTTCATCTCCACTGTTACAACATGCATTAATTTTCGTCTAAATTTTTACTGTGGTCAAAACACACCCTTTTTGTCGGCAAAGAAATAGCCCGTAGCAGAGGAATTCTCAGGCTGTTTACCACCAGCCTGTGTGGGCTGAGGCTACGTAATTAGAGTTGCGTGTGTCACAGAAATGGTATTGTCGTATTTCTCCTAAGGCTTTTAAGAGGATGTTGCTTCCTTCCATGAAACATACCCCACTGACTTCCCTCTTCCTCCCAACATGGTTATTTTCTCACTTAGGAAGCAACTACAGTAGTTCTTCTGATTCATGAAAACTGAGCTGTGCTTGGTTCAGCCTGTCAGCAGGGTGTCCTGGACTGCTTTGAAAGGATTTTGACAAGAAGCGACAGTCTTCTTCGCTTACAGAAAAAGCACTGAGATTTCTTATTGTAACTGCAGTGGGCTTCTGCTTCTGCAGTGGTTGCCATAGGTACTGCCTCTGCTCCCAGCCATTCTCCTGCCAAGTGAGACCTTGGGCTCTACACCGAAGAAGCAGTTCTTACTCATCTTTGATTATGTATTTTGTTAGCTCTTGAAGCTCAGCTTTAGGGGCTGAGATTAAAACCAGTAAACATCTAAGCTGAATGGAAAACAGCATTGCCCTGGAGCCCCATTTACCCGAGCTTTATTAAAAAGCAGGATTACAGGCATGGTAGCACTAACACTGAGAGCTTACAAAATAATCAGGGGATGTGTTCTGTCCAGAGCTGAGGTTTGACTAGATGGGCAGGATCATGATTTTTTTTAACTGTTGTCTTCTGCTGGTCCATGCGAACCAGCTGCATTGGTTCTGTAGAGCAAACAGATTCTCAGTAAGCAGCCTTTTTCTTATTTAGATTTGCAAAACTGTGGAGATGGACAAAGAGAAAATATGTAGGAAGTAAAGCTGAATGAGATGTATCAGTATTGAGGAATCTCTGAATTTCCTTCTAATAAACTGGGTGGCATCTGGACAAAGTTGAAGGATGTGACATAATAACTTGTAAACCTTTTCTTTGTTGCAGGCTTCCTGTACAAAGAGTTTTTACGGGGCTTGTGAATTATGGCATTAAGTACGTTGCCTTTTGGTTAAGGGTCTTCTTTGGGACCCAGTACAGCAGGCCAGGGCTTTGTAGGAAAGAAAGTGTCTCTTCAAAACGTATTAGTCTTTTTTTCTTTTTTAATAGACTAAATTTCTGGCTTCCCACGACGTGGGATGACTGCAGGTAGTGCTGCAACAACTGCAAACTTGTTGCCATCTATCTGAAGTACTGAAATGACTCATTAAAGTAGGCCATCATTGCACAGCATAAAAAATGCTTCTGTTAGCAACCTGCTGACTAACACAGTGCTTTCTGTTTGCTGCCATGGGAGGTGCTCATATGTGGCTGTGAGAATATGACAGAGCCTGTCTTTCAGAAACAATGGCAAAATATGTTTCAGATTGTTGTCACAGGGGTCTGAAAGCTCACAGTCTTCCCCCAGCTCTTCTGCCTCTTGTTGAACCTCTGCAGAACCAGTTGCTCCCACCAGTTCTTATTCCCCAGCTGGCCGATGTTTTCTGGCAGATCAACATCTTGTCCTTGATTTGCTGCAGATGCCTTAAGGTGTTATTTGCTTTGTTTGCATAATTTGTTGCTTTGTGGGCATCAAACACCCCATGAACAAAAGATAAAGTTCTTAATATGAATGTCTGCTTATTTTTCATTGTGCCCATAAAAAATGTCTGGAATGGATGTCATGTGCTGTAACTGTTAGCGTCAGCCACAGGAGTAGAGTGAATATAGGAGTCATTTTCCAGTATCACCCTTTGCACGTTTTTCCTTGGAGAAGGGTTTCTTTGGAGACCTTCCAGTCAGAACAAACTGAGTGTGAAGAGTTTTTTAGGTTAGTACTGAGCGTGGCTTTCCTCTCGGAGGGAAGGGAATTGGAGTCCAAAGTAACCTTTTTGGGAACCACCGCACGGAGATCCTGCTCCTGCCTGCGGTGAGGCACTTAGCTGCAAACAGGAACTGTTGCGTAGTGAGTCCCAACAGCAGGTTTGTGCTCAGAGCCCAGAGCTGAAGGTAGCCATTCCCATCTGAGGGCTCGAGAGTATGGGATACCATCTGCGGCTGAAGCACGAGGCAGCGGTTTGAGAACGTGATTCATGTGCTTCCTCCCCTTTGCCTTCTTGAGAAGGTGTTTGTCTAACTGAAGATCTTGCTAAGCATTTATACGAATAAATATCAAACATGATTTGTTCTGCTCGTTTACTAATAAAGTTGAAATTGTTGATTGAGTACATGCTCTTAATTCTGAGTTGAGGTCAACAGTCATAAACAGTGAGGCTGTAGCTCAGTCTAAACTAATACTGTTCTTCTTTCCCTTCCTTTTGTTACCAGCAGAGGTGTTTCGCCACTCCTTGCAGCATCTGTGATCCACACTGCAGTTGATGAAGTTCTCCGAACAGACTTGACTAAATTTAAGAGGGAAAGTGTGGAAAGACAGGGAGAAGGCGAGGAGGAAAGATTCACCTGTAAGTATACTTTCTCCTTCTGTGGTTTTCTCAGAGGCTGTCTGTTGGAATACTTCAGTGTTTTGAAACGTTTCCCAGAATATCTGGTTAGACTGTCTGGTGAGCAGCACTGAACAGAACTTTATTTGCCCCTGCCAGGTATTTGTGGGAAGAGAGGTAGGGACGCTGGTTTTGTGGGCAAGATACAAATGTGCTGTCTGGAGCCCTGGACTCGTTGCAAGAGTTGGTTTTCTGGAAAGGGAAGAGAGTTTGTCTTTCCAAAAATAATTAACAAGTGAACGTGTCTGCAGTGCTTCCTGAATTAGCTAGTTGAGAACTTCTCACACAATGCCAAAAATCAAATCATTCAGTCTGATGAACAGTAAATTTGGATAAATTGATCTTTGGGACCAATCCAGAAATGGATTTGAGTGTCTGTCTGGAGCTTTTTGCACTATGCTCAGTGGGTCTTTACATTTTCTGCTCTGTCATGACAAAGCAGGAAAGTTGCAGGTTCTTTTCTGCCCCTTCAGCTTTTACAGCCCCATGTGTTTAAAAAGATAAAAACAGCAGCTTAAAATTTGAAGCTCTGCTTGGCTATGAGTTGAGCTATTGACCTCAACAAAGCTTACTCTTACACTTTCTTGTTGTTGTAGTGGAAGTGGTTCAGTAGGACATAACCTGATGTCTGGCTAATGGTATTTCAGTGCTTGTATCCAAGAGAACAATCTGTTATCCAGTTGGTTGGATTTTCTGCCTACTTGATCTGTTTTTTATTTTTCTATTTGAATAGGAATGCACTTCTACCACCAAACGTGGTGTGTTTCACTTACCATTAGTGTCTAGTTTGACAGACAGATTTTTTTGGATCCTGTTGGGATTACTTTTTAATGTAGTCACTTCTGTGATAAACCCATTTTTGCATGAGAGCTATGAAGTACCCGAACCTTTCCTTATCCTGAACGTTACACTGTTTTCCAGTATTGTCGCCTTTCTTGTGATTCTCTGGAGCCTTGCAGAGCTTGTAGGGGCAGAGTGCTGAGTGCGTGCACGTAGCTCTAAGGAAAGACACTTGAAGGAAAGACGGTCAATGATGGGGCACGACTTTCTGTTTTGTCTTTGTGCTGTCAGTGCTGGACGGAGAGTCGCTGCAGCGCTGCTTCTTTAACAGACTTCGGGATGTGTGCTTTGAATGCCAGAAGCAGTCGCCACCACTGAGACCGCTGAAGCGTTTCCTGCTTGTTTCCACCCATGCCATCCGTAACACTCGACGGAAAATGGAGGACCGCCATGTTATCCTCATGGAGTTCAATCAGCTGTTTGGCTTAGCAGTAAGTCTGGACAGCGCTGGGGAGAGCAGTTCATTAGTTTTTCAATGTTGCAATAAGCACAGTGGTCTAGTGATATGTGATTTGTGAAATGGTGAGGATTTGCTGCCATAAGGTATTTATCATGCCTGTGCTGGAGCAAGTACCTACTTTGCTAGGGGCTGATTAACCTAACTAATGCCCTGATAAAGAAGGATCTTGTGACTTTAGGTTTCGTGTCGTAAGCGTTGTGGAAATATTGAAAGTTATCTGTCACTATTTTGCTGGAGGTGTGGTGTTTTTCTGACCGAGGTAAATTATGTGTTTTAATTAAAAAAAAAAAGAGGAGTTAAACAAGAACAAATGCCAATAAAGAAAGCTGGAGTAGAACTACATAATTAACTCTGTACTGTTTCAATTCTAGAATTTTAGGATGTTAAATTACTGAGATCTACTAAAGAAAAGTAATTCCCCTGCGGAGTACCCACTTCATCCATTTTGCACATGGCTTAACTGGCTTAAATTGTCCTTACCTATGCAACATCATATGGAAGAAAGCCCAGAACAGAACATTGCTTGCTGTTACTGCTGTAGGAGCTATTTTATTTTTGAACATTTATATTTCTTCCTTTTTCTTCCTCCCCGGAAAAGGATGACATCGATCGTGCTTACTTTGCGATATTTGATGGCCATGGTGGAGTGGATGCTGCCAATTATTCAGCAACACATTTACATGTAAATGTGGGGCTGCACCAGGAGATTGTTAAGAATCCAGCTGAGGCCTTGAAATGCTCTTTCCAGAAGACAGATGAAATGTTTCTTTTCAAAGCTAAAAGAGAGGTGAGTGGGTAGAGGTTAATTCCCTTGTATTCAAATAACAGTAAGAACTGTTGGACAACATGGTATTATCCAGAAAATTCTGTCACTACAGTATCTTTGAATTATTTATTAAATAATGCTGCATGAAACTGTTTGATCAAATTATTTCTCTTTTGAGGAAAAGCGAAATGGCGGTGCTTGCATGTGGGTGATCAAAAATAAGCACTAAGTGTTCTAAACAACCAGTTATTTGAGAGAACATTGCTCTTTGCTTGAATTAGGCAGTCTCTAGGTTCCATTGTCCTACTCCTTACCTCAAAAGAGATTTCATCTTCTTCCTCATTTTTCCTACCTTTAACGTAACAGGTGACAATAAGATAAAAGTGTATTCTGTAATTGTAGAAATGACCTAGCACAGGCTCTTCAGGTATCGATCTGCCTTGAATTGAGTTGGTATGATGAATATTTTTTTTTGTCAAATCTACAGAAAGGAAGGATGGTTTATTATAATAGTGCTGGTAGTGAGAACTCTTGTTACAGCAGTAACTGATCAGTTTTGGAACTAATAGCAGAGAGGGAAGATAATGAAAAAGGCAGTATGAACTATCTGCATACTGGAATAAATAGTTTATTTCACGGGTATCTGTGTAGATCTTTATGCATCTGATATATGTAGTACCTTTTAAAATGTACTTGAATTATGATCACAGGTCTACTGCACTGCATTTAAGTTTTATTAAATATAAGTTTGTAGTTTTGCTATGTGTGTGGGAACTGCGGAGTCACAGCCTGAACCTCTGATTGATCACCTGAGGTGAGCCATGAGTCAGCCAGAGGAGCACAGCTGAAGGCAATTCAATTCACCTGTGCTGCCGGAAGGGGTGGAGCCAGGCTGCACCTCTCCTAAGACCTATTTAAGAGCTGGCTACCAGTGGGGAAGGATCTCTTCTGGAGATCCCTCCTTCTGGTGTTTTGTGGTGAGCCCAACTAAGGGTTAGCCTTCCATTTATTCTCTTTTGTTATCATAATCTACTTTGCCTAACTCTCTTGTTTATTTTGTGATTGCAACATCTTAATATCCATTGATTATACAGCTATGTAACCTATTTGTTGGGTATTCACCTAACACATCTTTTTCCTTCTGTAGAGGCTGCGGAGTGGCACAACAGGTGTATCTGCATTGATTGTGGGGAACAAACTACACATAGCATGGCTAGGGGACTCGCAGGTAATGCTTGTGCAGCAAGGAAATGCTGTGACATTAATGGAACCTCACAAACCAGAGAGAGAAGTAAGTCTGAATCTTTGATTTGTTTTTCCTTTTGCGTGTGCTGTCAGAATCTCTCTGAAACCTTTTGGAGCCAAGCGTTGAGTTTCATGATCCGCATACTTTCTGTAGTGCAGTAGGTTTTTGAGAATGATGATTCCATCCACTCCTGTGTTACAAAAAGGCAATCTCTGCTCCATGATGCCTTGAAAGTGCTGATGGTACTGGTAGTCTTAACTGAAGTTCCTATGCAGACTGTTTTTCCAGAAGACACTTGGTATAAAATGTGTATTTTGCTGTTTTTCAGGATGAGAGAGCACGTATTGAGGCTCTGGGTGGATGTGTAACCTACATGGACTGCTGGCGGGTTAATGGCACTTTGGCTGTTTCCAGAGCAATTGGTAAGCATCAGCACAGTTCAGATCAAGCTTTATTAGAATGTACCACCTGAGACTGTATAACTAAGTGACATTTTGCTCAGTGTTGTTCAAATAGTGAACCACTTTGCCATGAGGTTAGACTATGTCTATGACTAGACTATGTCTTTTTAAATAGTTTATACCTATCTAGTCTTACTGCTTTTACCATGAGCATGGTATGCTGTTCTGTTTTACATACTGGACATGACATTCCAAAGTATTTAAACCCTTGGCTTCTTGAAGGTTTCTGACACTGTTCTCCATTGTTCTACAACAAACTTTAGGGTATTTCTTGTGTTCAAGTGGAAGAAGTAAAAAATGTTTATCCAGGCTTCTTTGTGTTTAAATATCTGTTGTATTTTTTATTCACTCTTGGGTACAACTTTTAAATCAGATTGCTGTGTTCTACCTTGAATTCACTATTTTTCACTGTTCCAGTCCAGTATCGGATATGTCTGGAGTATGATCTGTCTGTCCTCTGGGGCACTAAAAGCAATTATGGGTGAAGAACTGTTCGTATTTGAAGTAACGAAGCCTTTGTTTTGATCATTTGTCTTAGGTGATGTGTGTCAAAAGCCTTACATCTCTGGTGATGCAGATGGAGATTCGTTTGACCTGACTGGTTCTGAAGATTACTTGCTTCTAGCCTGTGATGGATTCTTTGATGCTGTCAAGCCACATGAGGTTGTAGACTTAGTCCTAGATCATTTAATGCAAACCAAAGGAGTGGGTCTCAAAGCAGCAGAAAGACTGGTGGCTGCTGCGAAGGAAAATGGATCCAATGACAACATTACTGTTCTAGTGGTGTTCTTGAGGGATCCACAGGACATCTTGGCAGACTGTCTCAGAGACACTAAGAGCCTTGAGACTGGGGATGATGCTCGGAGCTCACCCTTTAATTTCCTCAGCTGTGAGGCAGCAGCCACACAGTGACAAAATCTGCTTAATCCAGAAGGTTTAAAAGTTTGCTTAAGGAACTGCTTTCCACTGAAGTAAGCCTCTAATACAATAGGCAAAATGCATCAGGAAAAATGACAAATGGACAAACATTTAACAAAAAGGAAAGTCTCCTTTTACTGAGTTCCCATTTGTCTTTTCTTTCTCTTTCCCTCCATTCAAAAAACCCTGGAGAGCCATGGAGATTCGTACAGCTCTCTTGTCTGTGGGAGTGGAATTCTAAAACATGTCCCAGGACTGCTGCCATATCCTTCTGCCCTGGGGTGGCAAAAAGTGTATGTATAAGCTAGTGGGTGAGATCCACCATTTGTGAATTCTAATGGAAAATTTGAAGTAATGCTTCAAAAGAGTGCTCTGTGTTCCATTTGTGATATTGCTTTGGGAACTGGGAGTAGAGAAGCTATCATGAAAGAAAAGGTTGTTACTTTGCATAGTTTGTAGGAACAGGCTTGATAGCACACCATTATGCTATGTAGGTTACTTTTGTTTTGTACCAAAGATGATGTTAAGAGAACGATATTGCCTCTTTCTTCAGGCAGAAACATTTAATTTTGTGTGCATGGAGACAGGAAAATGGTGCTGAATGCTCCAGTGGCAGAGCAAAAAAGCAACATCCCAAGCTACTTCCTGGGATGCTATGGTTAATAAACTGGAATCCAGTATTTAACTGCACTGGATTATTTGTAACAAAAATGTTTATTGGCTGTCTGGCAGCCTGAAAAGAAAGGAACCGTATTGCTGTATTTGAGAGAGATCTTTACAGAGTTTGTGTGCTCGTTAAATATGTTCTGTTTCTACCATTTTTCTGTGTACTATAACAAATGCGATTTTTATTTTAGCTTCTGAAGCTTAGAGTGGAAGATTTTTTTTTTTCTTTGCAGTGTTACTTTATTTTGTTATGTTTTATTTAAATTAGAATTTTAAAATGGCCTCTTTATTACCTGGTTTTAAAAACTGACTGTCCTCAAGTGCCTTAAATATTTCACACAAGGATTGCTGGCTTCTCATCATACTCTGATGAGCCAGTTTATAGTGTTTTTAAAATGTGACTTTATTTCATTAATATTAATGTGTGAGCACTTAACTCTTTCACTTTTATTAATGATTTTAGTGGGAACAGGGTTTCAAGAAAACATCTCGTTTGTTGTTGCCAAATTGCATAACACGTGACATAAGCTTCACAGTACTTACTGTGACTTACCCCTGCCCCTTGCATAAAGCTCTGGCTAGGTAATCGTGAAGTAATAATCTGATCTCATTTAATTTCATTTCATTTAAGAAGAAATACAACTTTCAGAAGAAAATTTGGTAACATAAACTAGAAACATTTCAGTAATCGTTTTTTGTTACTAGATGATTGATTTTTGCCATATTTCTTGGACTTTGGGAATCTAAATAACTTTTTAAGGAGATGTGAAGCTAAGGTAATGATGAAAGAGTCCTTAATGAATGTGTGTTTTGTTTTGCAACTGCTAGATCCATTGCACACTAGAGCCCCTGGCCGTGTTTGCTCCTGCTTTGCTAGCCTGACTGGCAGAACTCAGCAAGATCTGAAGGCTCAATGGCAAATGTGTTAGTAATTTCTATGCCTAAACAAGAAGTGCTTTACATCTGGCAGCAAGATTGTATGCCTAACTTAGAAGCACATGATGTTGCAGTATGTCAGTGCTGTGGATCAAAATGTGTTGAAAAGTAATGTCTCTATGGGAGGAAATTTTAGCTAGGAGAGTTGAGATGGCTGAACAAAGAACAGTAGAGCTGTTTCTGTCTGTGCTGTCTCTGCACCATCAGCTGGTGTGGGCAGTGCAGTCCTCGAGTGACTGGAGCCTTTGTTGGCTTATTAGGGACGATGGTAGCGTTTAACACAGTAACTCTTCTGTGAGCTGCCATCCCTGTAGCAGCTCGGCCTTTGTTGTTTTGCTGTGCAACAACAGTAGCTTTTCCAACAAGGTTGTAACCACTTCCCCATCCTACATTTTACTGACCTAAAATACGTGACTTCTTTCTGTGAGGGTAACCTAGTAGGGTAGGTGTTAATTTTTCTATGAGCCTGCTTTAGTTCAGGAAGCCTTCTGTCTTGCATAACATAGTCACTTTGGATTTGCCATCTCCCATCACTATGATTTCTGACCTAGATATTCAGAGTCATGCTAAATTCTGATGACCACTGTGCCTCTTGGTGTCTTGGAAACAAAGTTCTTGTTGTTAGTATAGAAAGAATAATACAGAATTGTTTGATTTCATAGCTGTCAGGTGAGGAGGAAGCTGTTCCATTCGTGAAGGGAGGTGTGACATTTTGCTAGGTTTGTGATATGGTTCACTCTGAAATTGGTCAAGTTTCCTGAAACATGGGGGATGGGGGGCTGAACAAGTCAAACTCTCAGAAATGATCCTTTCATTTCAATCTCTTGGTGAAGGTTTACAATACTGTAGAAACAAAGTATTCCAATGTGTACTTACAGCTGTGTGAGAAGATCCAGTCAAAATTGGAGCTGGTTTGTCTGTTTGTTTTATTGGAGGCTAAGTAAAATGCCCCTCTTAGAAAGCTGTCTGCGGTAATCAGAAACCTAATTCTCAAGCTGTGCTTTAGGAGAGAAATTATGCATTCTTTCACTTGTGATGTTAATATCACCTCTAGAAGCCAGCAGCTGTAATGCACAGCACTGTTACAAGGAGTGCCAGCAGTGGAGCAGTGCTCTAGCAGAAGATAGTCCACGCTATGGACAAAATACAGAGGGTGCTACGTTTGGTATTTTAGGGTTGTGGCGTGTTTTTGTTTGCTTGTTTTTTAATTCACAGTGCTAATCTGCTACGCCTGCAGCTTCTCGTATCATCCCTCTCAAAAATCCCTGGATTTCAGGCGGTGGGTTTGATTTGCTTTTTTATTTATTTAATTTTTGTTCACTCTCTTGGTTTCAACACATAAAAACGTTATGTAATTCGAGTGAGGAAATGATCTCAGCTCTCTAGGCCTTACCAGTGTACTCAGTGATACAACAGTATATTAATGCTTGTCCACCAGTTGACAGTTTGCCTCCTTGTTTGCTGATGAACGTGCATCAAAAGCAATACTTCAGTCTTGCCAACATCTCTGAAGCTGTAGAAATTAGCTGAAGCATTCAAGACAATTTTCAATGAAAAACTGTTTTCGTATTTTACTAGATTTCAGCTGGCTGTCTGCTGCATTTTTAGCACGCAGTCCTAGAAAGCTGCTCCTGAGAGGAGCCAGGATCTTTGAAACGCAGCGTGCTTATATTCTCACGTTGTGCTTGGTTGAAAACTGGCTTTAGCCATCCTTCTTAGTGGGTATAAAATGTCTCTTTTGATTATGGGTAATTCACACTTCCACCTTTCTTTCCTTTCCTACCCTGCCCTCATGCAAAGAAATGTACCTGGGATAATGAAGTTCTTGGTCTGACACAGATGAGATTACAATTCTAAAGATTACTTTTTTTTTTTTCTTTGTTTTTCTTCCTAATACAGAAGATAGAAAGGCAGGAAGATTTTTTGAACTGAGAGAGATTAAGTAAAATCCACCCTGTAAGTGATGGAGGGGTGAAAAATAGAGAGGAATGCATTTAAGTATTATTAATGCCTATTTTAAAAAGGAAGTGGGCTGGAATATAAAGCCGCACACGTCAGTTCTTTGGCGTGAAGTGCTAGTGCTTGAAAGAACTGGAAACACATTAAAACACATTAAAAAGGCAAAACTGAGATGTGGTAGCTCTGGCTTCAAACAGTCAAGGAAGGGATCACAGTGAAAGCATCCTGAGTGAGTTACTCTGACCCCTCAGTGCTGTCTTGGAAGTTAATGCCACCAAATTGAGTTTTAAGATGTCTTCACATGTAAAGTACTGCTAAGAGGGGGCACTGAGTGCGTTCAGTCACTGCAGCTGCTGCCATGAGTAAGGACGTGAAGCGTGCTAACGAAGTGGTGCTGCTGGTGAGTAATTGGGCAGAGCTGGCGATTGAATCGTGTTAATCACAGTGATGACTTTAATAGTGTTTAATAGACACTTATCTCAATTCAAAGTCAGAAGAGATATTGCTGTTTTTAAAAGCATTTCCAGTGCTATTAGCTTTTTGTCATGAAAAGCCAATGGAATGTCCTTTTTGGTTGTTGTTGAACATTTGTAAAAGTGCTTCTCTTGCTTTCCAAATTCTGGAGAGAAGTTAGCTGTCTGCTATGGAAAACCTGCTCTCTGTTGATAGCTTAAAGCAGCTGTCTGGGGGTGAAACTTCTGTCCCAGCAATCTTTAAAAACAAACAAAACGTGCTTCCAAAACAAGTGGCTGAGGAACATATGCATTTCTAAACAGCGTTGCATGAGAGACCGTGTCTTTAAGGAGCCAGCAAATACCTTCCATTCATAGAGAGTCAGCTAGTTGAGCTGCTTGAAGCCTGAAGTAAGATTGTAGCTCTGCTCTTTGTTTGTGCTCGTTATTTAGCTTACAGGGATTCTTGTGGATGCAGATACGTAACACACGGCACCAGACATGGTATACGTCTGTTCCCATAGTACTGAAGTATCAAGCAAACTCTTAAAGGAGAAGGTGGGGCAGATATTAGCCACAACAGAGCAGATTGCAGAGGCTTCACGTGCTGTCAGACAAAATCCCACTGGGACGTTTCCCTTTTTTGAGGAGCAGACAATTCCTGATAACCAGAATGTGTTTCAGGAAGGGCTGAAGAGAGAGAAAAGCTTTGAAATGAGCGCTGAACTTCCTCATCTACAGCATTTGTGTATTCTTTCTAAACAAGTTTATGCCATGTTTGCAGTTGTGCTGAAAAATGATTAATTTTTCTGCCAACCTAAACTGACAGCACCTAAACCATGAGGCTGATCCTCCCTGCTTCCCTGAATCTAGCCACCAGAACAGCCAGCCCTTCTGTGGGACTGCTTATAGCACTGGCAGCTCTAGGAGCTAAGCCCACCGCTTTGTGCTCAAGATGTGCTTGTTTCTAATAAGTTCATTGGATCTTATTGTAGGTACTTATTTCTGTTGATTTCAGCCACATCAGCTGAAAAGTAATCAAATGGAAACAGCTGAACACGTAGCTGTCGTAGACACTTCTCAAAATACCTTAAAATAAGCTGGTAGACTCTTGTCATAACCTATTTCCAAATAAAACAAGAAGCCAAAACCGCGCAGAGAACTGCTTACATCTTTGTTGTGTGACCCACCAGGCTGGAGCCCGAGCAGGACGAGCCCTCCCCTGGGTGTCTCGGTGCTGGTGGTTCAGTGTGTTTTCCAAGCAGAGCACGCTGCTGCTGGTAGACACAAAGATAAAGAAAAGACAGCTGTGTTGGCAGCATAGAAGGTGCAGCTTTTGTCAAATAGAAGAGGAGAAAATCAATAGGGAAATAAATGTTTTCAAGCTTCTTGGAATGCAAACAGTGCAGTAACAACCTAGGAGAGTTTGCCGTGGACTGTCAGCTTAAAACCTCAGCAGACGAATTTGGCTGCTTTGTTGTATTTTGCTTTATTTTGTTAACAAACTCCTCTCGGCCAGGGTTTCGTGTCTTACGTGCTTTTTAGTCTGAAGAGAGAAAAAATATTCAGCTGCTTAGAAAGTTACATTTATCTGGGCTTTGTGACCACTCTACTGGAGAGAATATTCAGTAACTGTATTCTAAACGATTAGCCTGATTCCCATGAGATATTAATGAGTCGAGTAATGAACGCAGCAGAGATAAAATGTTTCTGGGTATCCATGCACAAAAACCATGATCTAGTGGATCACTTCCTGATTTATTGTCATCTATGTGGCAGTGCCTTCGGCACATGGAGGGTTTGTCGCTTTAGCAGATGGACCTTGAAGGTGTGATCGTTGCTCCCAGTAGGAAGTGTTTATCCTTTTATGTAAGGGATGATGGTTTCTTTTGGATGTGTAAAGGCAAAGAGAAACTAGAGAGACCTTAAGGGGACCTTTTCAGGAAATGAGATGCAGCAGCTCCTCTTCCTCATGTTGCTCTTTCTAGTGCTAAAAGACATTCTACTAAACATTGGATGATGAATCCTGCTGTCTTTTATTTCTTTTTTTGCTCACCTTCAGTGTCTTTGCATGACATCCTGTTTAGTAACAGACAGATGTTTATTTTGTTGTGGGTTAAAACTTTACATTGACGAAAAAGGATATTGCATTTCTTACTTCCTCTTCTGAAAGCCAGTCCTGCTATCTTCCTTCTTCCCAGTTTTCCTTTTCTTCTACCTCTTACAGCCTCTTCCAGTGTCAGCCCTCCACTGCCTTGTCCCCCTCCCAAAAAACCACTGCTTAATCAAAAAACAATATTGGCTGTTAAATCAATTTGATTGCCTTTTTGTAATTTTAATTTTGTCTGTGTTATAGTGAATGTGGTCTGATCTTTGGAGGCCTGCAACACCAAGAGTATAGAAGGTACCATGTCAGCTAGGAAGGTATGAGACTAGAACAACTCGTACTTTTGGCATTGCCCAGTACTGGCTGGTTAAGAAGAAAATCCTGCTATTTGCATGCTATTTCCTAGGAATAATTGAGCTTTTTTTTCAGGTAAGAGTAGCTCTTGTCCCAGATACAGGGCTTGAGAGACTTTCTAGTCTCTGGTTTCTGCTCCTGCAGGCTGTTGGTGTTTTCACCCTTTGCACTGTGTTTAAAGGAGGCTTCTGAGTTTCTCCACTGCTTCAGTGCTCTCTGTTTCCTGCCCTAGTTGGTTTAGCAGGCAGGCTGGTAACTGCAGCATGGCACATGGTTAACCAACCTCTCTGTCAGAGTACCTCCTCAACATCTGCTCTATTATAGCTTCACTCCTTCGCTTATTTAGAAATGGAACTTCTAAGTAACTACTGCTGACACACAAACGTGTCCTTATCAGTATTAAAATAGTCCACAAGCAGAACTGTTGCTTTAGGCACATTTCTTGCCACTGTGTTGGCTAATGAACCTTGAATGAAAGTGAAATGGCCAGTGAATTTGAAGTAGGAGCTGTTAAGCAAGTGTTGTAGAGCTGTAGTCTTTATTTATTTTGTATATTAATCTGCACTTGTGACACAGAGCAGAAAAGCTGCAGCACAGCAGATTCTATAAGCTGTGACTTAACCAGTTTCTAGTATCTTAAAACTCTTTATTTAAACTGAGTGGTTCTGCACACAGGTCAGAAGCCTGTTGTCATTGATCATTACATGCTGTGCGTATCGTGTGTTTGTTTATACAAACTGTTCTAACAGTGCTGGTGTGTATTATGCTACATTACCATATTTTATATATATCTGTATGTATGTATGGCGTGAGGTTTAATTGTTGGGGTTTTTTTGTATTGTCACTTTTGTATTCACACAGTGCCTCATGTATCTACTTGCATATGTCAAGAAATTGCTTCAAAGCAGTGACTGGAAACAAGCGAGGAGAAGAACTCTTTGCTGTGGGATTTGATGTTTCTGAAGTGTTAATAAAGCATACTGATTGCAAGTGTCGTTTGTTTCTTTTCTTCAGTGTATTTTTTTCATTTTTATCCTTCAAGTAGCTCGATGCACAGTGGTCATATTGCATTATCTTTGAGGGATCTTTCTGTCATACTGATGATCATCACCAAGTCCTTTCTTCCATGGGGTTTTTACAGGAGGAGAGACTAGCAGAAGTACTAGAAGGAAATAAGCCTGAGGATCACAGAGGATGCTTACTTGAAAACTACTAAAGCCATCGTAGAAATCACCTGTGTACCTTAATTTGTTGGTCCCTTTTCTTTTGTTTTTCTTTTGTTTTTCTTAGCAGCTAACAGTAGTAGTGCGAGGTAAGTTTGGCCTACTACCTAATGTCCTACAGTAATGGGACAAGGATCAGAAAACCCCTGTTTCAGAAGAGAAAGTAACAGTTTGTTGCTTACTTGTCTACTTGTTAAAGAAATGATCTGAAAGCATGTAGGATTAACTTACTACAGTACCGAGATAACTTCTAAAATATAAGAACAGCTTGGAGCTCTATAATCTGTTATGGTTTCTGAAGTGCTGGTTTTCATTTCCTCAGGAAAGGAAGATGTAAGGACAGCAGGACAGTGATAACACTTGCTAATCTGAAACAACTCGTGGGAATCTGAAGTATGCAGCCTTTTAGGCAGTTTGCCTAAATGCAATTGTATATGTCTTAGTAAAGAAGGAAAATGAAGTCTAGTAAGAGACCAGGATGCTGTATCAGAGCAAAGCAGCAGATAAGGTACTTCTTGAAATACAAAAGTAAGTATTGAGTAGATTCTGTTTGAAGTGCTGTGGGCATGCTTGAACATACTTCAGATCAAGCCTTAGATCTCCTGAAAACACCTTCCATTTCGTGGTTCTGAATGTTGGGTTTTCTATTTTTTTTAATTATTTTCTTAGTAAGAATGCCTGTGAAAATGCACCTTGTAATAGTCTCAGAGAAGTAGTATCTCCAATAGATCATGTGTTCAAAATGGAGCTCATAGCCAACCCTCTGCTCTGGAATACCATTTTCCACAGTACTCCACTGCTGGTGGATTTTAATACAAAACAACCAATGAGCCCATGAAAATGAATGTAAAACTGTGATTTAAAGCTATATGAAGCTAAACTTGGATGTCAGTTGAGATTCAATGCATCTGCATATACATCTCATGACACAGAAGCGTTATCCCCACCAGTTGTTTGACCAAGCAATAATGATTATGTCCCTTTTAACCATTCCCATTTAATGTATGTTTCTCTGCAGTCAATTGCAGAAAAACCTCCTGCAGCTCGTTTTCAGGCTGTAGGAAGTACTGAAGAAACGGTGTTGATGGGGCAGATGTTTCCATACCAGCCTCTGTTAGAGCCCAGTTGTTACAAATGGGAACTGCTCACTCTTTGCAGAGCAGATCAGCTGACCTTCACTAGTACTGACTGTCATCTCGGTTCTTTAGGAAACGTTACTGGGATTTGCTAAGCAGAAATCAATTCTTCAGCTCTCCCAGATCAGTCTGGAATTGCCTGTTCCCTACCCCTGGGAAGCAGAATGAGCAACAGTGTTTCATCAGAGCCTAGAAGAACTTGAAGAGATGCGGGATTTCCAGAAGGAAGGCAGGAGATTCTGCATTTCTATTCACAGTCAAGCACCAGACAAAAATTTCCCTGCATCTGGATCAAGATGCAGGCGGAGATCTTATCACTCTACAACTACCTGAAGGGAGGTTGTGGTGAGGTGGGGGTTGGCCTCTTCTCCCACGTAACTAGTGATAAGATGAGAGGGAACGGCCTCCAGTTGTGCCAGGGGAGATTCAGGCTGGAAGTTGGAAGAACTTCTCCCAAAGAGCGGCCAGGTGCTGCAATGGGCTGCGCAGGGAGTGTGGAGTCACCATCCCTGGAGGTGTTCAAGAAACGTTTAGATGTTGTACTGAAGGATGTGGGTTAGTGGGGAATATTGGTGAGAGGTGGACAGGTTGGACAGGGCCTTACCTCCTAAGGTCTTGGCAGATGCCTTTTATTTAACTCCAGCTTAAAAGTTCTGTAGTTTGCGTTTGCCACATTCTCCCGTTACTATGTTGAGCTGTTTGGAAAGAATCTTAAGTTCTCATTAGAATAAGAAAATATTTAAATCTGCAGCTGTTATCAGGCACTCAGACAGAAGTAGCTCTTTGAAAGAAATATTTTGAACATGCCTTGACAAATGCAAACCTGCTTGCTGTATGTATGAAAGAGTTCATTGTGTGCTCGAGGCATATAATAAGGCAAAAACAAGTATTTTGTGTAGCCTAGAAGAAAAATCCTAACTATGCTGTGGTGGGCCAGCCTATCTACAGTACTTGAATTTTCAGTTTGGTGGATGTCCTGTATACTCTGAAAAAGATTGCACAAACAGTAAGGAAAAGAACAACCTTGACTTTCCACGCGTTCTGGGCTGTAGAGTAAGCACTTCCAGGACATAGCTTGTAATCTTCTGTCCAGCCTGGCTTTTCTGCACAAATCTGTGGTTTCGGAGTCCTTGTGAGTGACGTAGACCCGTCTGGTGACCTGCTGGTATCTGAGCTCTTCCAGGGCTTTGTGTGTCTGCCTCTAGAGGGCTCACTCTTTCCTTTGGCCATTGCGAAACCAGGGGCATAGAAGATACGTGACGCTGCTCTGCACCGGGAGCTGCGCGAGGGAGCCCGCGGCGCGCCGTCGTTCCCATCGTATTGCAGATACCGCTGGAAAGCTGAGCCAGAAAAAAATTCTTTGCACTGTAACGCCTTCTTTCCAACTGCACATCTTTTCAGAAGTTGCAGTGATTCTGACACCAATTCTGTGTTTTGTTTCCTTGCTGGCTAAAATTCAAGTAGTTGGTCCAGGCTGGGATGCAGCCTGTCCTGCACCATGGCCAACAGCAGTAATCTGGGGAGAGTGCAAAAAGCCAGGAGAGAAGTAATTCGCACAGGGGGTGGGGTGAAACAACAGTGTGTTAGAATAATGTTCTTCTTTGCATCTCTTAGATGAGATTTAAAAAAAAAAAGTCATTGTGTTTCTCCTTATATGAAATATAAAAGATATCTGTGTGTGTGTGCTTATCAGCCTAAGAGACCTTTCTTTTAGTTGAATACAAAAGCAAGTTCTGGTGTCAGCATAGGGAAAGAAAAACAACAGCGCAACAATGGAACAGAAGACACTTCAAGCTTTCTGTATAATTAATTACAGTAATTTAAAAATCTTGTGCAAAGTCTGTGCTTGAAGAAGTTCTAAGTTGCAATTAAGCCAAGCTGCTAATGATGGATTTAATTGTTGGGTTACATACAGGCACAGGTGACACAAGTCGGGCCGCTGACATCAGAGGTTTCACCTAATTGCTTTCTGTTGATGCTTCTGATTCCACACAGCTGTTCCAGCAGCTGGAATGACCGGCAGGAGGTGAAGCCTGGATGACCATCAAGAGTTTGCCCTGGCAAACTAAACTGTCCAACTGCCGCGGGGCTTTAGAGGTACCACGTCCTTACTCTGCCTCTCCAGAGCTTCTGGGGGACGCTGCTTCTTTTGTACCACCCCCGCTGAGCCCCCAATACCAAGGGACTTGAGACGGGAGAAAGAATTGGATGCTGAGGTGGCTCTGCAAAGTGTTCCTTTCTGTAATGGCAGCCAGGTGAAATCTCACATTTCTGAAGAAATGAAATGCAGTTGAGGCGAAGGTCGCATTCAGCAGTGTCGTCAGGCTTTGTGGTATTGGTGAGCCTGCTTTTAAAAATAAAAGTGGATCCTTTCTTCTTCTCTCTGTTCCATCTTTCAGAGGACTTTCTTCTCCAAAATATTAGAAATGTTGCATCATACATGGAAGGACCTTTCTTTTACTGCAGTCTAAGACTGAATGCCTTGACTGATAAAAAGATACCAAGATAAACATCCAATCTTGGACATTTACTATTAAGGTTACATTTAAAGTCTGAATACAGAGTGTGTGGAAGCTTGCAGCCTTCCTGCTGCACAGGGCAGTGTGTAAATACCGGGGGATCTTGAGGAGAGCATTTATGTTCTTATTTTTGGATTGACATTAAAAGCTTTGAAGAATAATTTCATCTAAATTTATTTTTGCGCTATGTTCTTTCTCATTTTAGCACTGAAAAGGTTGTTTCTGTCTTAATTGTAGCATCTCCGTTTTGTATTCTAGTTTTGTCTGCTTTCTGAAGTGTAGGAATTAGGGATCTGTACTCTTGGTCTTAAACCTCTTTGTAACTTCTAGCTGTTATTTGTTCATTTATGTATTTGGTAGTGCTAGATAGAGATGAGAAAGTGGCTAGCTTTTGCAGAGCAAGAGAGGATCCAGCAATTTTGCATCTTTTAAGTAGTTTAAGGAAAGGCTGATGGATAAATCCCGGCAGAAATACTTATGAAAGCTGTTCATTTCTTCCCTCCTCACTTCTTGTAATAATATTTTGCAAAGGCTCGCCTTTCCCCTCAGAAAACTGTCTTTCTAGTATTTTCTTGTTAATGAAATTTTAAGTCAATGAGCTGGTTCCCAAATAGTAATAGACCAAACCAGGATGTGCATTAGCAGGCTAATGGCAGCCACCCTCCCTTGCTGAAGGCAGTGTGTCTCATGGCAGTCATCTAGGAGTTGGCTGCATCGCTCGGAGCACTTAATGTTGGCTCTGCTAAAGCACTTCTTGTCCTCCCATCATCTCCTTTGGGAAACTTCTCTGTTGACTAATAGATCCCACTTGTCAGGAAGCCTTTCCTGTTCTTCAGTCTTACTGACCTCAGTTCCAATACATCTAACTGTAATTTCTTTAACTACTCTTTAATGAAATATTAATAAAGAGAGGCAAAAAGCCATCACATTTATATTCATATAAAAAATGGAAACTAATCTGTAGTTTGGTCTTCACTGTAAGACTTGCAGAACTAACTGTTCAACAATAGTAGTTAAACGCTGCCTGCACACGTTTCAGGCTGATAGTGGCAGGACCTGAAGTTGGCTTGCATAAATCCAGCTATAAGTAAAACTACTGGGACTTGGAATCTGTCAGGACCGGTGTGTGTGTGTGTGTGCCTGCGACGTGCAAAAGCTGGCAGCTGCTGAAAGCAAAGCTGACCTTCCGGCGGCTCCTGGGACGTTTGCGAGGTTGCGCAGTGCTGGTTGAGATGCTGTGGGCAAACCAGAGCCCTGGGGTGGGAGGGGAACCACCGGGGCTGCGTTCAGTGAGGAGGATGGTGCCGGTGTGGCCGCAGCCTGCGTAGCTCCATGCGGTGCAGTGGAAGCTGCTTGCAGCCATCATTGCCACCAAAAGAGGCTGGTGTGCAGGAAGCAGCTGGGAGAGGTTTGCACAAGGACTTGTTGTTTGGTTGCTCACATTATATCAGTGTTTGGGCTATTGAAAGGGATTTGGCCTTTGGGTCTCGCTTGCATCTCAATTTATTTTTGCCCATTCTCAGTTCTCTTTGTGAATGCCAATTTTCTGAGTCACTCAGAATGATTCCTGCCTTCATTAGGGATTCCTTCCAGCTTCCCTTTAACTGCCTGTAGGCTGCTGCCTGCCCCTGCCTCCCTCTGTGCACTTGGCGGTATGGATTTAGCTCTTAGTATTCTGTAACTCATCTCCTGCAGCTCAAGCAGCTGAATACCTTCATCCACGTGAAACTGTACTGTACCTTTGGCTCTGCACAATTTGCATTCTTCACCTGCCCTATTCTGTGCCATCCCTTCAGCTTCTGGCATTTAAGGTGTGGTATGAGGCTGTAGTTTATTTCAGGCCTACAGTAGCTGTGCTTGAGGCTATTCAAATGAAATGGTTAAACCAGGAAACTGAGCATCCGGGAACCTTTAATCTCTTTCTGTTACACTGTGTCCTTCTGTGTCATCCTGGATAAACCCATTTTACCTACCGCTGTCCTTATTTCTGTGACATTCGTTAGAGTTTAAATTGCCTGTGATATCTACACCACACAAACAGGGCTGCTTTTTTAGAAGCCTAAATTAAAAGATGCAATGTAAATAAGAGTTAATCGTATGCTCTTTAATGGGTGCTCTTACATGACTTGCTGACCTCTGTGGTACTCAAAAACTTGTCTACACGAAATCAAAAAATCAATAAGGAAAATAACCTGGGATGGAGGATGGGGCTCTAATTGCAGCACTGAATGTCAATAGAGTAGATGTCTTAATGCTGGTTAATGACTGTCCATAATGGCATTCAAAAAATGTACATTTGCTGTCACTTTTTCAAAGTCCAGATGAGCTGCGTGGAGCTCTGCTAATGATGCGAATTATTTAAGTCTCATTTGTATGCAGTATGCTCCTGCTTTGAAAGTACTTTGCAGAATTCAAGCCAAATTCAGCCTTGCAGCTCCACTGAAGTCAATGCTTGTCTGTGCATCTGTTGATTGTTTTTCTTTCTTCCTTTTTTTTTCTCTTCCTTTTAAGAGTTATTTTCTTGTTGCACTGATTTTATTTTCTTAAAGGTATTTTCTGCAACGGGTTTGTAGTCACTTCTCCCCTCCCCAGTAAAGTAGCTGTAAGTACAAATGCAGTTCTATTGATTCTCCCATCTCCTTCGTAAGCCCTACAAATGAGGACAAGCTATGCAGAAAATAGTGTTTTGTGTTCTTTCCTTTATACTACTTTGCACCTCCTAGGCACAGTTTTGGTGATGCATGGCACTTCTCCTAAAAAATGTCCTGCAAAGAATCTCTGCCTGCCATCTGATGTATCCAAGAAACTGAGTTCCTGTCTGTTGCCTATTTCTGGATTAACCCAACACGAACTGATGAAGGCCCTGGACTTGCACGATTCTGCAGGTTAGTTCTGCTCAGCCATAACAACGCAAGGATGCGCCTTGTGATGGCTGACAGCAACATGGTATGGGAGTCCGATCTGATATTTAGAATTAGCTGCTGGAAGGGAGGACAGGCATTCATAGTTAAGACGTATATTTTAGTATTTGACTTTATAATTGAAATATTCCTTTAATGTCGTTTTTAACTTGACCCAGCTATGTTTTTAACACACACACTGGGGGTGGTGGGGAAACATCATCTCTGATTATATCATTCACTCCTCCTGGGTAATGGGCAGGGGTGTGATTTTCATCTTACAGCATAGCCCTACAACTCTACTGCCTGCACACAGTAAGTGGGAGGAATGGAAAAGCTTCCTTTCTAAATGTACACATCACTAGAATGGGCAGTGATGTTTCTTGCCAGCTCTTAGATATTTGCTGGCAGCACCAATACAGGGATGAGTGTTGAGATGTGGGAATCGTGGGTTCGTTTCCAAGCTGTATGGAGGATGAATCTAGATGCCCTGCTGTCCTATGTTATATAACACTATTATAGTGTGTGGCTTCCCCTCTCCCTTCACTGCAGCACAGCTCTCCCAGCCTGTGCTCATCGCAGTGCACTTTACAACACGGCTCCTCCCCCCGAGCTGCCGGCCCATCCCTGCTGGCCCACATCTCTTCCCTTTCTCCTGCTGGGGCAGCCGTAATCCCCGCAGGAATGTGGCCCACGGCCTCGGGCATGTGACTCCGGAGAGCTTCTGATGGAGAATACAAAGCAGGAAAAAGCAATCCTGTGTCACCTAGCAGCGTAGGAAGGGAAGAGCTGAGCATCTGTGGGCTGTTCGATGTGCTGCTGTTTGATGTGTGTGGCTGTCCAGCCACATCATCAGACAGAAAAATAGAGGCTAGACTTTTCAGCTGCATGTCTTGTTTCCCTGTCCATTGTGTCTGCGTGATGTGTTCTCTGCCTGTGGTTTTAATAAACGTCTTTCTAAACTACTTTCTGCTTCAGCCCCCTTTGGCATAGCTCATTCCAACTCAGCTGCTTCAGTGTGCTAAGATGCTAAGTTAGTTATGTAGAAAAGGGGAAAAAAGAAAACTCCACCTAAAATATCTGAGGAAGCTGTGGCTGTATCTCTGTGAAGCTGCTGTACGCTACGAAATCCTCACCTGACACTGCACGAAGCACTGCCTCTTGGTCATACTAACACTTCCTCCTTTTTGCATTTATGTCTACAGAATGCGCTGAAGTATTTGCCAAGAGAATCCCAAACTACTGCTAGGACCCAAGCTTGTGTTGGATTCTAATAAGCCTGTCCAGGTAGGGTGTTGCTGTCTTGTACAGTGCCTCACAAATCTCAACGATTCCAAACAATTTCTGTGTGTGGAAACTGAGTTTTGTACTACGTCGTAAGCACCCATCTTAACCCTGCTAGAGCAGAGCAGCCCTTTTTCTAGCAGAAACCAGAGCTGTTGCTGATTAACGTCTTGCTGAAAACGAAGTCTTTGCCATCTGTTCCGCCCCCTCACTACGAACGCCACTCTCATTATGTTGATTATGTAATTAAAAATGAAAATATATTTTGGTAGAGTGCTGCATAAGCATCTGTGCTTATTCTTCTGCCTCCTGCCCCACCTCATACAGAAGAGGAAAGACAACAATTGTTCCACTCGCCAGTGCTTTATGTTGAAGCTGTCGCGCTGGCAGCCAGACCGGAGCACGTCATGGGAGCAGCCCCTTGAGCCCTGCTGGGTCTGAGCTGCGGCTCCTTCGGAAACCCCAGCTATTGGGTTCATGAGAAATCTGTGGCAGGAAGCTGACCCTTAAACTGAGGCTCCTTTAAGTTCTTGTGATGGGTTAACTTGAATCCAGAACATGAAAAGTGAACAGAAAGAGGCCTGGCTACTTTATAAGTGATGGTGTGACCTCTGAGATTAGCGGGGCTGCTCACGTTACAAATATGGCCTGTCTATCTAAGGATGGAGGAAGAGAAAGAGAGGAGGGGTAGCCTTCTTGTAAGTGGGTTAGAGCAATTACTGAGCTCTCTTACCGCGAATGAAGTTGTTAGTGTGACTCACGTTCCCTTTTATTCCTCTTGCTGCCAAGTTTTAAGCAGTAACCAGACAGGGAAGAAAAAAAAAAGAGAAAAGCAACAATGGAGAAGAGTTGAACTGAAACAACCCCTCATTCAGGGTATTGTTTGACATTTTAGTTCTGATTGTACATAGAGATAAAGGACCTATAAATATCCTGTCTGCTGAAATTCCTTATAGCAACATCGCCTGTCAGCTGAACAAACAGGGTAGGTTCTCTAAATGCTACCTAATTACACGTGTAAATGCAAATTGCCGATACCTCCCTGCACGGCATGGAGTGAAGACCCGTTAATCTCCCGTTTCACTGAGAGATGCCCCAGTCCCAGGAGAGCAAATGGCGCACAGCTGTTAGTGCTGAATCGGTGCAAGATCCGAGACCAGACTGAGCCAGGCAAGGAGATGTTTATCTGGCTGGTGAGCGCAGATGAAAGCCTCTTCTGATGCTTCTGAAAGTATCTCAGCATTTAGTTCTGTTTAACAAATGGCTGGAAGCTTTTCTACTCTGCTTCAGAGCTTTTAATGAAGCATTGTGATTCCCATTGTGGTCGATTGTTTGACAGTTTTATTATTACTGGTACGCATTGCGTTTTTTAATGTTTGACAGCTGGAGAAAGAAGTATTTTGTGCATTCAAATTTTTAGTACAAAGCTGCTGTTTTCTATTCTGCCTTTGCCTTTGTCTCATTGCTGATGCAAATCAATGAAAGACAGAACTGATGAAATTACATCTGTTTACTTTTCACTTGATAATAATGAGACACAGCCAGCCCTTTGTAAAAGACAGAAATGGGGGATGTGAATGTTTCTACAGTATTTCTATAAGGTGTTTTTTTTTTTTTTCTTACGATATAAAGACATTTATTTGTTTCTTATGTCTTGATTTATAAGATAATGTGCACTTCCTACTGTGTGTGGAATAAGAATGGAGCAATGAATGACAGCAATGGATTCCAATTGAAAATCTCTTAGCTTGTTACTTTTATCAATTCAACAACACAAATGATCGCAGCACACTGCAAAACAAACACCAAGATAGTTCTGTGCTTTACAGTAGGACTGCCTCTGATCACTGCTGTACATTTGTGTACAGCTACACAAACAAATCCAGTTGGCTGGCTTTGGCTTTATACACACGTGATTGTTGCGAGGCCCCAGCTTTGGTACACTGGTACGATATTGGAAAGAAACAAGCTGCAGAAATCAGATACCCATGGTCGTTTTGGTGAGTAATGTGCGTGTCTTGTGGATTGTGTAATGCATTTTCTGGGGGGGGGTTTGAATGCTTGCCCTTAGGAAGGAGGCCTGCATTTGTCTGCCTGACTTGTGCAGCATGCTCGTGTTTTTGCATGTACATTTCTAGGTGTTCATAGCTGCAACAGAAAGGTTTTGGGAGAGGTAAAAGGCAGAAAAAGGAGAGGAAGATGAGCAGAAGGGAGGTGGTAAGGGAGGCACTTACACAACTGCTCTCCTGATGACTGTTTCCTGTGTTTTGGCCAGAAAGGAGAAAAGCGCATCAAAGGATGGTAAAGCCAACAGAGGTGTCTGAAGGCTTCTCAGCAGTGGAGCCAAATTTCCCTGCTTCACAGGCAAAGCGAGACTCAAGAGTGCTATCACATGGCTGAGCCAAACCCAATGAATTGCGAGTATCAAAAAGGACAGCCCTACTGCTCTCTTTTTGTGCAGGTCTGCTGCTTGTCTGACCCTTTGATGAGTATATGCAGCTCAATAAATTTAAGAAAATGAATTCAGCAGAAAAACAGTGAAGCTATCAGCCACGGAAGGGAGGAGGGGCAGACTCTTGCGAGAGTCAAAACTGGAGCTGCAGTGGTAGGGAGAGGTATGGATATCAGATTTTTGCTGCAGATTTGGGGTGTGCTGGAGGATGTCTTGCTGCTACCCTACCCCTAACCTTCCTCTTCATCTCCTAGATGGTGCCTTCTCTCAGAAGAGGACGCCCTGGATACGGAATGATTAAGAAGGATGCCTGGACAGGTGAAGGGAGCTGGCGGTGGCAGTGCGCACGGCAGATGAGGGAGCGAATTGCTGCAGGACTGCAGGAGCCCAGGAGGATCTTGCCAAGGGTAAGAGTAGTGGAAGAACTGAGGAGGAAAGAGGATGCGTTCAAAGTGACTGCAGAAAGCTGCTACAACAAGCACTGAGAAAACACTGGAATACAGAGCAATGGTCCCATTTTGCCAATCTAGCTCTTAAAGGGTTATGCTAATGTATCCAGGTAGCGGTTCCTGAAGGAAGAGTCCTGTACATCTCCCTTATTTAGGCATACATTTGTCCAAATTGGGTTTTGACAAGAGGACAGCAGCTGGATTTTCATTATCTGAGACAAGCAATGATATTAGCTGTTCAGAGTTCATGATGGAAATGTATCTGCATGCTGGCGTGCATCCAGCTGCACTTCACAAAGGTAAATGGGACACGAGAGTGGTGCACTGCTCCCTTTTAATCCATTTGCTGTAGAAGGGGGTACTTTGCCTCTCTGCAGGAAGGCTGGCAGAACTAGTGTGCTAATGAACACACATTTCTTGCTGCAGCATATGAGCTCCCCAGATTCATAAACCCAAGCAATTTATAGACGAATTACAATATCCACACACACTTTGTTGATGTCTGGTGTGAGAGGCATAGGCCAAAGTGTCAGGGCATCTGCTATCTGCTCTCCTGCACATACTGCTTGGCAGAGCACAATCCCTTAGTCTTTCTCCACTTCCATTAATTGTACCTTCAAAATCAGATGCAGTGTCATCCTACAGATGTTTTGCCATGTCCTTCCAAGAGCAACGTTCTTTCCTGCTCTCTCTTTTTCCCTTTCCTTCTTCTTCCTTTTTTTCCTTTTCTTTCTTTTTTTTTTTTTTCCTTTTTCTTTTAAGCAGCCCTTATTGTCAAATAATCAGAAATACTTTTCATTGCTGCTGGTCTTTTTGTCAAAAGATTCCCAGGCCAAAGGTTCACTTTGGTTCTGTTAATGACAGTGGGAAATGAGACATCATATCAAAATGTTGGTAGAGATGAAGGGCACTGGTGGATCCCCACAACAGTTCTGTGTCACCTGTACAAGACCCATAGGCTCTGTAGCGTAGTAAGATAACGTAGCACGTGATTGCAATGGATGTATTGCACTTATGGAAGGCACCTTATCATGGGGCTCCACATATCTCAAGTAATAACTGCTGATGTCAGGTAAGACAACAGTAATGGGAGCAGATAATTTTCCCATTGTTAAAACGCTACAAATGTCTTAATTACATGAAATTTAGCTAGATCTGGTGCTGGTGGCTGGAAGGAACATCCTTCTGAGGTTCAGCCTTTCTCTTGGTCTGAACAGAGCTATTTAAAGAAGTAAGAATTATATGTAATTATTACCCATCTTGAGTTTCCAGGCAGCAAGGTTACCACATGAAACTGCCGTTCAGATGTTCTCATTTGTCCCAGGAAGCTTGAACAAAGATCTATAATCTGCTCTGAACTTAACGAGCTTCCTTCAGCGGTGAAGCCCCTTGAGGCACACGAGCTGTCTTCTGCACAGTTGTACAGCTACCTAACACAGCGCTCACTCCCTTATGGATGTAGCAGACAACTTGCGTTTGGCCCCTACCCCACGTTCCTGTCAGTCACAGGCTAAGTTCTAGCCACATTGCAAGAGCGTCCTAAACCAGTCTGCAATTTCTATTTCCTTGCCAAAGATCTTATCAGCTGCGGGTGCAAGTTGCACCAGAAAGGTTGCTGGTGTTGAAAAATGTGCACTCTTCTGTTCTGCAGCTCTGCCTTGTCAGGCTGGGTTAACTCACCCAAAAGAGCCGGACTGAGCTGTCCTGTGAGAAAGATCACGCAGCAAGGCAACACTGTTCTGATCATTGGGCACTTGCAGATTATTGTTCTTAGGAGCAGGCTGTACTTTTGCCATCATCATGTCAGGCTCTGAACTGCATTTCTGCAGAAGTTCATGCTTTGTATTCCTATGTTTGCAAAAATGACAAATTGAGAGTAAAAATTTATTCAAATTAATTGCTATTTATATATTTACAGGAGAAAAAAAAAAAGTATGCCAGGAATCCAATGACCCTGTGAGAGATGGGGTGTGGATTGGGCCCCAAAAGCTGCTGATCTCAGTCCCCTGATACTATCATGAAAACTTTCCATCTACAGCAACAGATGCCACAGGGGGTTTATATTTGGATATTATTAATTCCTTCCTTAGGAGTGTTTATTAACAAATGCTTGCAAGTTGTGTGATGTGGTGTGGTGTAAACAGGAAGCACTCCAAGGTATTGCGTTGCCCATGTAATGCAACACATATTCCAACAGCTTGGCTTTTTTTTCAAAATACTCTCCTGTCTGCACAGCTCATTTCTGCTATAGACGTGCAAAGCTGCAGAAGAGCCAATTGTCTTAAAAATGAATGTTGATTTGCTAGATCGGGAACCGACGTCTGCAACTTATATCCCACCTTGAAAGTTATGCAGTACAGACTCTTTGGGTGCTCTGATCAGTGGATTGAAAAAAGCACAAGAGAAGAGGCTGCCACCTTTCCTGCAGCACAGTGCTGCAGATTGCCCTGCAGGTATTGCAGCACCTCTCAGCCCCAAACCTGGGGCAGTGCCTCTTCTGCCACTGTGCCAGCAGGCTGGGCTCTGACTCGTGCAGGGAAATAGCTGTTCATTTCCAGTCAGCTCTTGTTGTCTGCCAAGAGCAGCAATGGGAAAGCTAAGAGTGTCCGTTCATAAGTGGAAACTTTATAATCAGAATAATGGTGCTGAGGCCTCCAAGCTGTCTCATAAAGGCTCCATGCTCTTGTTGTGTGATGTACCAGTGTTGTCTGTGTTCTGAGTCCTTGTAGCTTTTATATCAGCATCTCAGAATCCCATTGGCACAGTTTCCTATGCCTTGTTCAGCCAGTGCTATGTGCAACAGGAGCAGACAGTGGGGAATTACACTTGTGCCACCACAAAATCACTGTGTGCGTGGTTGTTATAAGTGGTAAGAACATCACCTGAAACGAAGTTCTAGGGGCTCTGTTTTGAAGGTTTGGTGTCATTTCTCAGACTGGTTCTCAGTGAAGGTGCTTCTGTGTCTGCCCCAAGTGCAGATGCAACTGGGCTAATATCAGGACTGATGCTTTCTCCTCTATCCTCACATCAGTCAACCTCTTCATCACGTATACTCCCTTGATTTCTTAACTATGAGCGAGAAAGAACGAAAATGAAATGGCTGCAATAAAACCACACAAAACCCCAATAATCCTGTGTCTACATGCTCTAACTTCTGCCTTTATTGGAGGCATGCCTTGTCCAGCATGAAGCTGAACTGAGGGTGAGTGGAGGAAACAGACGGCGTATTTTAGTATTTGTAAATCGTGAGCCTTGTGAGGTTTTGTAAAGATCTTACTGCCTGATTTGTACGTTCATGTATTTGTCTAGCAACGGATGATATCAGAAACAGTGATCAGGAGGCTGATATTACACACTAAGTCTGTTCTGCAAAATCTCAATAGCCTTTTGGTGCATGGAGCTTTGGCACATGCAAACTGTGATTGCAGCGACATCCTCGTAAGTCTGTGCAAACACGGACTGCATGTGTTTTGTCACTCCTGTAGGACAACTTTGGTTCAGTATTTGCATCATCCACAGCTTGTTTACAGAATTTGAAGTCTTGAACAAAGTGAAGCTAGCTGATGAGGAGAAGCTGGTTTTCAAAAGGTACGAGCTCCAGGTAAGTGAGGACAAGTGAAGCACACAACAATACAGAAATCACTCGGTTTTACTGCAGCCAACTGAGACGGAGTGTGCTTTGGAGCTGGGAAATTTCCATTCCTGAAGTGCGGGACGGTGCCTGGATACTGCTGCAACTGCAGCTGAGAAATAAAAGCAACTCAATCTTACATAGCAGCAAAATGTCAGTACATTAATTAAAATTGATAGAGTTTTATAAGATTTTAAGGTTGCTGTAAAATTGATTCCTTCTAGAATATTTAGAAAATAACTGTAAATGACTTTTATAGAAATTAAGAGTGTTAAAAGGACTTGAAATTGCACCTAGGCTTTCAAGCTGTATCCTATTTGTGGACATCAGATCTGACAAGAACGTGACACTACATCCCCTACAACAGTGACAATGTGACAGTGGCAGAACGATATGCAGTGTGAGATCAAGGTTGTTACGGACAGTGTAGTTCTGCAGCTAATAAATGTTCTTGCTCTCTGTGGCATGTTCAAAACAAATATAGCTATCTGTTTACCACTTTTAAGTCCATAATCTATAAACCACCATAAGCTTCCTGTAAAGTCAGTCAGAATGCTGAGCAGGGAAGAAACAAATACTGGGGGCAAAAAAAAGTGAGTTCGTTTTGGCATCAAACTGCCCTGCTCTTTGGGCAAGACACTGCTTTTAACTTCCCAACGGCATAAAATTACAGAGATTCTCATTTACATTGAGGTCACTTTACATTGCTGAAGCAGCGGATGACATTTAAATGAAAATCTGTCCCATGGGCTTTCAGCTATATGTCACTGGTTAAATCAGGCCCAGGTAGGTTCAGACTAGAAGTTATTAGCATCTGATGCTCTTTATGAATCTTAGGATGGTTCCCAGCGGATCAGAGCTCATATCTGAGCAATTTAAGTTTGTGTCACATTCATCACCATGGTTCCTGATTGCCTTAGAAGTTAAAATACATCTTTATAAAACGCCTTACATGTCTTAGTTCTTTTTCTTTTCCTCCACGCAGAGGCTTGAAGTCTCTTTAAATAACGCTGGGAAAATTGCTTTCTGCACTGAATGTCTGTGTTTGGTTTGGATGATGGGTGGGTCAGGGTCACCCCAAAGTACTGTGAACACAAACTATGTGCTTCTGCAGCAGATGCCACCAGAGCTGTGCCTCCAATGTCCCCACACAAATAATGCAACTAAAGTGGTGATGATTTCAGGAGAGGTAGTTTTAATTTTAGCAGAAAAAAATGAAATCTCCAATAACCAACATTGTAGGGCAGCTGTGTGCTGTTCTTTTTCTAAGCCTGATTATGCTGTTCCCAGGAGCAGTGGGGCTCTCATAGTGTGTCCAAACCGCGGCACGTTTAACCTCTCCTACGGTAAGGCTTACCGTTTCCTAATACAGCCTTCAAACACAAGGCCGTGCTTCTGGCTGGAAGAATCTTCTCATTGCTGGTTTTATTTCTACTGGATGCATGGAACCATTCTTTCCTCTCTGCTTTTCATTATCTGCTATCATTTTGTGATACCAGTGTCCCCAACATAACCCAATATTTTGACCATCAAACTAATAACGTCCTTAAAACTCATTTACGTTCTTTCTAGAATTGATACTTTAATGTCACCTCGTTAAAGTAGAAGACACAGCAAGTGTGGGTAATGGCAGTGTATTTAAAGGGGCTGAAAAGCAATTGGTAGCATTTGTATCGTCCTGCTGAATTCAATAACTGTACTGCTTCACTGAAAGGCTTACATGGCCTTCTGTCACAAGAGAGATTGTTGGCAAAGCACACCATAGCTTTCTGACCTCTCATTTGGCTCTAACTGGATTAAACACATATGGGACTGCAGCATTCACAGGAGTTGAGGGATCTCCCACGCTTCCTGGTCTGCCCGCTTGGTTTCCTTTTCTGTTCTGCCACACCTCAGCGCAGGCAGGAATGTCGTCCAGATGCAGCAGCTTCGATTCAGTGTCGCTCCTGCAGGCTCTGTTTAAGCCAGTTTCCCTGCAATCGTTGGTTCTGAGTTTGCCCAGGGCAGATTAACTGAAGTAACCAGAACTGTAACTATCGTTCATTTTCAGAGCGGAGAGCCATGGAAATCACGTTGGACTTAGTTTCAGGAAATTTCAGCAATTATTCCCATTGACTGCTGTCCAAATTTCCTGAGAGAAATGAAGCGGTGCTTCGAGGCAGAGCACGCGGGGAAGCACGACGTGCACGGCTCACGGCTGCTAAAAGCAGGCAGGACGCGACAGTCCTCCAGGCCAACTCTGCGAGCAGCATGTGGAAACGGAACAGCAGGGCAGGGCCGGGAGAAACCTGCAGGGCGACGGCAGGGAGAGCCCGGGGGCGGCGGCCGAAGCCCGGAGGAGTCGCAGCCCCGCAGGGCCCGCGGGGCAACCGGTGCCGAACGGCCAAACTCACGAACCGAGGAACGGCTCCGGGAGGCGCGGAAGACGGAACTCCGCCGCGGAAAGCCGCCTCGCTGCGCGGAGCGGCTCTGAGGCCACACCGGCCTCGTACCGGGCCCGCAGCCCCTCCTCGGGCCGCCACCCGACCCCGCCGCAGCCCCGCCCGGTGCGGACTCCATTTCCTGCCCCGTCGTCACCTGACGCTTCTAATGGCGCCGCGCGGCCCGCGGTGCCGCCGCGCCCACCACGTGACACCCCAACCACGTGACCTGCGCGCCGCGCGCCGCGCGCCGCACCCCTTCCCCGGCGGCTGCGGTTGCCGCAGTCCTAAGCTCCGCCCCTCCCGGCGCGAGCTCCGCCCCCGCCCATCCGCCCCCCTCACGCCGCCACCCCCCCCCTCCACTCCCCGGCCGCGGTTGATGCGCGCGCGCGGCGGTTCCGTCTTCTTAGAACGGCCGCGGCGGCGACGGCGCTGAGGGGCCCGGCAGCCGGCGCCCGGGGCTGCGGAGTGCGGCGGGGTGGAGCCCGCCTTCTTCCTGCTCTCGCCCTCTTCCCCGTCCCCCTCCTTCCTCCGCCCGCCCGGCCCTCCCCGCACGCAGTCGCCGCGGTTCCCGGCACGGACAACATGGCGGCGGTGGCGGGGGCCGCGGCCGCGGGCAGCTCTGGTGGCGCCGGAGGCCCGGAGATGGTGCGAGGCCAGGTGTTCGACGTGGGGCCGCGCTACACCAACCTGTCCTACATCGGCGAGGGCGCATACGGCATGGTGTGGTGAGTGCCGCCCTTCCCCGCCCGGCCGCGGGGAGCGGCCCGCGCGCGGCCTGAGGGGAAGGGAAGGCCGGGCGGCTCCGGGGCGGCCCCCCCCGCTGCGTCCCGCCGTTCCCGGCCCGGGGGGCCGCCGCTTTCCCCACCCGGCTCTGCCTTTTCGCCTCCGCGGTGCCGTGGTGCGGCGCTCACCTGGCGCTCGCCGCCTGGGCCCGGCGCTGTGTCCGCGGGGCTCCGCTCGGCCCTGCGCGACGGGAGGGTGGCGATCCGCGCGCGTGCCGCGTAACTTCGGCTAGCGGCGACCCGAAGGAGCTCCGTGCGCGAACCGCAAAACGTTGGAGAGCCATCGCGAGATGTCGGCGTTGTTGTAGCAGCGCTGGGCCGAGCCGCGGTGCCGCCGTTGCCCGTCTGGCGCGCGGTGGCCGCGCGGCGCTGCTGGGGCCGCGCTGCTGATGGGACTCGGCCTCGGGTGGGAAACTTCTCTCCTTGTTTGCCGGCTCGTTACGGCGCTGCTGCTGTTTTTCGCTGCGTTGTTTGACCGGAGGCGCTGTGTGACACCCGCGGGCTGTGACGGGGTGGGAGCTGCAGCGGCGTTGCTTTCTCTCTCTGACACTTAATTTTTTGTAAACCGCGGCGTGTTTCTCAGCGAAGGCGCCTCGCTGCCTGCAGCCGCACGCTGTGTATCGGCGGGTTTTTCGTCCTGCGGAGATGTGCTGGCCCGCCGCGGTGAGGCCGTGCCGTGTGTCGGTGGGAGCTCGCGGACAAACGTCTGCCAGAAAGCTTGGAGGTGCGGCCTTCGCTTTTTTGTTGTGGGAAGAAGCTCCAATACGCAAACTGAAGCTCCCGGTGATGGTGTAAAAATAACCTTGTTAGTTTAGTGCTGGGAGTCACAACAACAGCCATTCCAGAGCTAGTCTTACAGACTTTGTTATTGTGTGCTTTTATCATCTGAGCTGGGACGACTGAAGCAGCGCAGGCAGCTCCGGCAGGCTGCTTTGTGCTTGCAGAGTGACTTAGACAGGTACGTGGGAACGGAGCTCGTGTCGGTGGGGTGATGGAGGTGGTGGCACAGACGCTGTTCTAATGCTAAGTATTTCACCACCGAGCAAAGATTGCACGGCGCAGTGCGGTGGCAGCTGATGCCCTTTTTTGGCGTCACCGTACTTGGGAGCAGACGGGGGGAAACCGGGTCTTTTTCTTTCCCTCTGCACGGTGTGTCATTCCCTACTGTTACGGAAGGGTTTCCTCTCTGTAACTGGAATATTATCTTTTATTTTAAAGCTTACCATATTAAATGCTATCCATATTTCTTAACAAAAAATTATGAATCTCCAGTTTAGTTGAGACGTGCATCTGGCTCCTTTGTTTTCTCCACTGAAGCTGTTAATGTGAAATACTGAATGTGATGCATTGTGCTGCAATTATTATCTTCTGCCATGGATGTGAAATGGCAGGGAACAAAGTCTCAGTTTATGCTGTGTGCTTGACAAGGGAGGTGTTGGATGCACGTGTTCCAGCTGAATGCCATAGCAACTGTAATGCGTTGTAGCGCGCAGCACGCTACTATGGTTAAATAACAGTGCTTATTGAGCTGCCGAGGTAGAGCTTATGCAGATTCTGCGTGTCTCTGATCTTGCTTTGACTGCTAATGCAGCGAAGATGTGCAGAGCATCTCCCTTCGGGGCGGGGTGCAGGTGGAGACAGCTCTTGCTGTTGCAAAAACCATGCAGATTTGTACTCTTAACAAAGGACAGCAGGGCAAGCGTTAACGGCTTTAGGCTGTCAGCTAATGTGTATGAGACAGAAGGTGCTGGTTATCTCTGAACGCCTTGTGCTGTAAGACTTTTTATATGCAAAATGGATGACTTAACTCTTAGAATTCCTCACTCCCTTATTTTTTCGTAAGTGCTATGTTTCCACAACATTGAATTAGAGAGTTTATGTTTAAAAAAAAAAAAAAAGTCTTGCTGGGAGTTAAGCGGTTAATAAGCGGGTATATGAGTATATAGGAATATAATAAGTTGTTGATAAGTGAGCATCCCTTTCCAAACTTTTGTTTTTCACTTTTCTTGCATGTGGAACCAGGGAATGAGCACCATGCAGAGTTCTAGCTGAAATCCTCAGCGTTTGCAGGACTGCAGGACATGAAATAACAAATGCGGGGGTTGTTGGCCTGGGGTCGGCCAGTACTGGCTGCAGCTGGAAGCTGCAGAGCTCTCAGGTGCAGTGTGACGGCTCTGGAAGCTGCCCCTTCCTCACCAGCGCTGGTGGGCAGCGTGTCTTTAAAGTCACTGACTGTACTGAGCCCTAAATTTCCAGCAGGAGTTGTTCTCCCTCCACGTGGTCGGTGCTGATTTGGCAAGGTGATTGTCCGGTAGTCTAAAACAGGTCGTTTTTTGAAGGAAATGGTTAATGGGAATGTGATGACAGGCTTCTGTTTTGTATTGTTACTTGGAACTCTGCTTGTTATCACGGTTATGTAAATGTGAAGTGTTATCATGGCTGCAAACTGTGCATATAAATCACGAAGGCAAATGGAATGTGGAAAGAAGATGGTTTTGAAGCTCACGTCTTGTATTTCTTGACCTAAACTTTACACTGTTGCTAGAAGGATATACTGACTTTTCTTTCCAGTTAGACATGGGTGGGGCCTGTGTTCCCTGCTGAGGCCACTCTGGTGATTTGGGGCAGAGGCAGCCTTGCTTTGGTTCTGTTAATTATCCATTGATCTGGAGAAAATACAGCCTGCTGATGGAGTGAGTGCAGAGGTCAGCTTCCTCCTTTTAAGTGCTTTTAGGGAGCACAGGTTGCATATAGGTGTTGCTACCTGTTAACTAGTGTGTTCTGGTCTCTGATAAGGAAAGCAGGGAGCTAATAGGCGTTGTCCTGATACCTCCTCATCAGTGCATGGATTGGAGCAGAGATTTGGAGGTGTGATGGATGGAGGGTGTCAGTCCCCTCTCTCTGGCAGCAGCCTCCCGCAGTGGGATGGTCTGTGCTGCAGGTGGGGGTTGGAGCAGCGTCTCCTGTTCTGTCCCGAGGGTTTGGTGAGGAGAGATGCCTTGTCCTGGCTGCCAAAAGCCACGGCTTAGGGCTTGGAGAGTGCAGCTCAGGGACATTGCATTCCATAAATAAATACAGGTTTTCATAACACAGCATGCCCCAGTCCACGGAAACAGATACCTTGTGGGTTTTTTCCCGTTACGTGTGAAGGAAATGAGGCTGTTGTGCTCACATTAGCTGTGTGTGGTTGCATCGCTGTCTCCTGTACTCCTGTATCAGGATCTGGGACTTATTGCTGGGCCTCCACCATTTGGCACATGGTGAAGATCTTACCAGACAAGAAATTTCTGCAAGGTTCTTAAAAATCTTCGCTTTGCTACAGCAGAACAATGCTCTGTGCGTGTCTGACGGGGGAGGGTTTACACAAGAGGTCACTCTGCAGAGACATGGGTTAGCCTGTTGGCAGCTGTGGCACAGAAGTGTGGCTGTGGGATAGCAGGGGCCAGCTTCTGCCTCAGCTGCTTCTGGGGAGGGATGGCTGCTGGGCACGTGGGGCTGGGGACCTTTTCTTGTAGGCTGTGTGTTGTGGTAGTGTTCAGCTGTGATCCAGAAAGGAAATTATCTGATCCATTTGATGTTTGATATTTTGACGTCATGCTGTGCAGCAGTTCATGGAGCAGAGCGGGTTGGGAGGCGTTGGTCACACAGCCTCTGCTCACAGGAGGCTCCCTCATCCATCCAGCAGTGCTGGTGGCCTGCTCAGAATTTCTAGTATCTGCAGATGGAGGTTTCACCCCTTGTCTGGGCAGCTCCTCACACCTACCCAGCTGCCAGGTGAAATTTCTGCATTGAGAAACATGAGAATCTGCCTTGCTGAAGCTTGTCGCTGTAACCTCTTGTCACTTCTTAACCTCTGGAAGAGCCCGGACCCTGCGGTGCGTCCCTGCTCTGCGGGCAGTGGGTTCCTGTGGCTGTGCCTGGCAGTGTGCGGGGTGAGGAGTGCTGTGAGGCGGCACGTGTCTGCGCCCAGCGTGGGATTCCTCAAATAACATCTGCAAAAGCCACGTTGACTGCTTTCAATGGTACTTAAGTTTGGGTGTCCAGATTGCTCAGGTGAAGCCTGTGGAGGCACAGCTGTCTCGGAGAGTCACTTTTATTGTATTGCAATGCAGAATGAAGTGAACAGCCTAGGTGTGTACTCTGTTCTGAATGATGGGTGAGCACTGTGCTGAGCTGTGTCTCTCTGGCCTCCTCACCCAGCAGCACCCAAAATCCAACACAAGTTCTGCTGAGGGAAAAACCACTTCTCTTGGGATTATTCTTTTATATTTTAATGTAATTTTCATAAAAGAGTGGAGTGCTCAGAGGTGATTAGAATGCAAATGACAGTTTTTGTTACATGGTAGAAAGCGTTCATCTGTGTTGTGGGTATGTTTTAACTACCAACAACTTGCAATTAGGCTTACAGTTTATGATATGTAATTACTTCATGCAGCAGTTTTCCTTTCAAGTAGCAGCTGTCCCCATACCTTCCTGCGTGCCCAGAGAGATGCGCTGCAGCCCGGCTGGCCCAGTGCACACAGCAGCCTTCCGTCAGCATCCTGGGGAGGGCAGAACTCCCACGGCAGGTGTGAAGGCGTTGTTGGCTGCAGAGCTCTGAATGAAACTCAGACAAAATGAGTGAGGCTGAGGACTCACTGCTGGCACAATCTTCTGAAAAGCGAGGGAGAGCCCGCAGGGTGCGCCCAGCCTGCTTCCTGTGTGCCATTCCCATTTCTGCAGGGTTGGGAAGACCTTTGCCTCAAGTTGTGTGTGAACAGTCTGGCTCAGCCGTTATTACTGTCACTGCGTTTTTTTTCTTCCTGCATCTTCTTGGAGTGAAATACCGCCAACTGTCTTCTCTAAAGTTTTGTATTGTGTGGAGTCGAGTCCGTTTCTGAAAAACAGTGTCATCATCCCCAGCCTTAAGTTTTTTTCCTTTTTTTCTAAAGCTGCTTTTAGGA